AAATGTTTTACGACCTCTGTTGTTTGATGCTTTGACAATAAAGAGGGAGCTCACGTGAAAGCAGATCAGAACTCTCTTTTGACCAGCCCGGAGGAGCTGTTGATCGGGATTTCTCCTTCTGCAGAAGCCTGACCATATTTAATTCATATACGTTGTCTGTGGTTATTTTATTGTAGGTTCGAGGAAAATACCTAACAACATCATTGTGCCCTCTTCAGGTCGTTTGCCCGTTCACACTGCAGGACACATACCAGTCGCATTTTCTTGAAAGTGTGAAGAGTCACAGCAAAAAAAAAAATCCTTTTTGTTGCAACTAAGATCATAGTGAAGGTTTTCAAACAGACATGCGGTCAAAATCTATTTTGCATATGTTCAAATGTGTTTGTAATTTTATGATGTAGGCAATTTGTAGATATTGTATTGCTTCTGTTCAATTAAGTTTTTCTCTGAGTGAAAGCGATGGCCTTGCAGTGAGCAAAGTTGTGAAATTGTGCCCTTTAGGCAGGGTGGGTTGTTTGAGTTTCTTATGCAAACAGGAAACCCATTTTACGGGAAACCATGTCGATATTCTTTCATCAATAAACAAACCAGTTGTACTAATACCAGTTGTAAAAAAAAAAAAAAAGTCCTGTGTATTTTAGGAAAGCATGGTGTTACTGAGAAAAATGGATGAAACAATAATCAGTGAAACTGCATGTCAGAATCAGGGGCAGAGGACTGATAAAAGTGTTGAGGCATATTTTTTAGATGATAGTGATGTTGATCAAGCATTTTCCAGGGTTGTATCAGTGTTGTGTTATACAGTTATTCATTTCAGTTAATTATATTCAACTGGAGCAACATACATTGACTACATTGCGGATGCTTTCAAGCATTTAGTTTTTAAATACTAATGAAAGCACAAAGTTTAAGATTAGAAAATCACACCAGATCAATGAAAACATCTTGAGTGCAGAAATAGAACTTAATGGAAAGAATGTTTCAATTCTTTGAGCAACACATTTTACACACTCAGTGAAAATCCAGTTAGCATCATTCCAGGGAGTTTTCTTGTCTCTCTCCTCTCTTTATAATTACATAGCAAAAACTATGAATTTATTACTCATACAAATCTTGGCAATCTTTATCAAATCTTCCATTAGCTCCTCTATAAGGAAGTGAATGAGGTTGATTGACAGCGCTAACACCGTCCTCTTGGTTCTGATTGGCTGTGTTTGGTCAGCGAGGTGCATTTCTTTCGCCAGCAGCTGCAGCTCAGGGAGGAGATGGAAGAGATTGATCTTTCCACAGATTATCTGTTTCGTAGCAAACTGTCATGACATGGTGTCAGCGTTAACAAATAAGAAAAAAAAAACGTATTAATGTTATACTCTGCAGCTTAAACAAAATGCAATAAAATGGCTTTTTTTTTAGAAGTCTGGATTGCTTTCTGTATATTTTGCATGTTGCCTATGACTGTTGCTGGTGGGGAGAGACATTTCAATAAGTGATAAGCTTAAATTATTTTAAAGAATTTAAGCAACCTGTTTGCTGTATTTTATATGGACTGTTGCTTGTAAAATTTACTAGCAGTGAATATTGTGCAAGTATCAGAATTGAACCAAATTACCTTTATACCAGGTGAGTCTCTCTAACCTGAGAATGTGAACCTGTACTGGGTTGATTCTGTGCCTTCAAATAATTGAACAATGCTGCTGTAGAAGATTTATAACTTATAACTCATAATTCTGAAACAGGAACAGGTCTGAAAAAAACAGCCTGTATGCTGCACTCAAGAGAGAGATTCATTTGATGCATCAAAGAGTGATGTCATCACTGCTGAAGTCATTGTTACCATTGAAGCTGAACATTCTAATGATGCATTCACATCAAACATGTTTTGAGTGTCAGACGATTCTGGTTTATATTCAAAGTCTATGTGGAGTGTTGGATGTGTTAGATGTGACAAACCTTTCTAACGGTTAAAATTGCACCTCTTTCAATGCAAACCAGACATTCCTGAGGTCCAAAACAAATTTGGTGTGAACTTACCATTATATGTCCAGTGTCACATTAGATCCATCATATATGGACCAAAGCACAGTCCTAATATGATGGACTCACATTTAGAGGTAAGATGCAAGTTAACCTTATCTCCTAAAATAAGGTTAGGAATGGACTAGTAATGGTTAGTGACGTAGCTTAGTTCCACCTGGGTGTGGGTCGATGTAAAGGCGTAAAGGCAGAGTCGGGCAGAGCTTGGTCTTCATGCCATTTCCAACATGAAGGCCCTTCATGCAATCAGTGGAGGTTGGTCCCATGGAGGTCTGTCTTTCCTTGGTCTCCTCTGTTTGTTGGGAGTCTTCTGTTTGCAGGGGGGCCTCTGGTTGGATGGAGACTCTAGGATGGTTGTTTTCCAGAGCAAGTTTCAACTTCACCTTCAGGTCTGAAATCTGACCCTGCAGAGATTTCACTGTTTCCTCCTGTGCTTTGAATTTGGAAGCTTGCTCAGAGTGACTTTTGAGCTGCTCCTCATATTTAAGTCTCTCTCTGTATTCTTCAACCATTACTTCTACCAGACCTTTGTTGCGGGAGGCGTATTTTTCAGCCTCCCTCTTGAAGTACTCCAGCTGTTGAAGAATGTTCTTGTCGGCTGTAACTTTGGAAGAGCAAGAAATCTTTGACACATCTTTAATCTTTGGCACGTTTCTTCCATGTTGAAGTTTGACTTGCATGTGACGTTCTTCTTCAAATATTTTTTTGTAGTTTTTGAATCTCCTGCTGCTGTGATTTGACTTCAGCCTGATGTGCAATCCTTTGGTCTCTTTCCTCATGGAGATCAAAAATCTTACTCTCCAGTCCTTTTTTAAGATCGTCTACCTGCTTTGTGAGATCAATGATGTGTTGGTTGGCAGGAGTTGTTTCCTGCTTGACTTCCAATGATGTTGGACTCTCAAAGTTGCTGGAAGGACTTGATTCCCCCTGGATCTCTGCTGATTCATCTTCCGGCTCAATGGAATTCGTGTAATATCTGGAATAGATATCCCGCTTGTTTTGAACATGCTCTGAAGAGTGATCTGTCACGATAGAACTGTGGAACAGGTCTGAGAAAACTGCCTGTGAGTTACATTCAAGAGAGAGATTCCTTTATGGTATCATAGAGTGATGTCATCTCTGCTGATGTCATTGATGCCATTGGAACTGAACATTCTGACCTGATAATGATGCGTTCAGAGGGATGAACATGCAGTTAAAAACTAGTGATGGTGGAACAGCGAGTTACCTCAGTAATATTTAGAAATATATAAATATCACCTTGACGGAATATTTAATAAAGACAAGATGGAGAAGAGCAAAGGAAGTAAGAACCATCTGACTCATGAAACATGATACCCCTTAACTGACAACCACAGTGGACTGTTGAAATGACAGCATCACATACCCGACATAATAAAAGCCTTCATATTTTTCACAAAAGGTAGTTGCTATTTTGGTCATTATATGACTGGTTTAACCCACCACTATTACACATGGGATTCTTGTGCCCTTTAAAATGAAACTAACTGAAAATTTCAAAATAAAAGCCTCAATATTCCTCTCAAGTTAGTGCACTGTCGTAGCCTTTACCATAAAATAAAAATCTCCCAGGTCAGTGCACTGCCTTGCACAATATTCCTCTGCTAGAGTGAGAAACTCTGATCCCAAAACAGTTTTTAACTCACGCCCACAAATATGTTTCTATTTGTATGAAAGTCGGTCATGATGACACCATCTGTCTCTCATCGCTGCTATTACTGTGAGTGAGGTACAGATATGAATCTACTACTAACAAAGATGAGAAATAGCCCTCTCTCACGCTTCAAACGGTTTGTGAATACGTCTCAGGGTTCCTGAACAGGAAGTTGTTCTGAATGCTTTTTTCAGAAGAACTGACTGTGTGTCTCACAAAGACAGAATTCTTTCTCCACCTTTCTGTCTCACACACATGACAGTCGGCTGAAGGCAGAGCTGCCCTTTAGAACTACAATGATGGCTGAAGGTTAGAACTACAGTAATGGCGGAACGCTGACTTACTAGAGAAGGAGGCTGAGCAGAATCTTAGAACTACAGACATGGTGAAATGTTTTGGGCATTATATAACTGATTCAACCCAACCACTGTTACTAATAGGATGAGTTTAGCCATTTAAAATAAAGCTTACTGGAAATTTCAAAATAAAAGCCTAAGTATTAGTAATAATATTTACTTACTTTAATATTAGCCTTTACTATCTTTTTCTCTCAGTTAATTGTACTTATTAACATTAGCAAAAACATTAGCACAAACATTAGCATTTCATTGCTGCCCTATTAGCCTTTTCCCTAAAAAAAGCTTGTAGCTATTTTTCTTATTAGCCATGCTTAGCATACTAAATGGAGGAAGTCAATGTAAGACAACATGCTAATGATGCCCCATATGCTAATGCTAGCAATTTGGCTCATTTTAACTGAACACTTATTTCAACATACTGAATGGCGTAGGTCCGTGTTACTTAACATGCTTGTGACTTTTCTCATGCTATTGCGTACATTGCAGCTTAGTTTAGCATTGATGCTAATTTGTATTAGCATCAATGCTGGGTTCCAACCGACTGTCACACTTTGGCAGGGCCCTTTTAAATTTCTTCAGAAATTTTCTGGTTGCATTTCTTACTGTGACATTGTTCTCATAGATCTGTTAAAAAACATTGACGTAAATAAATAGAATATTCTCCAGCTACAGTTGACGCTGCTGCTGCCGCCGTTTTCATTAAAACCAGGAAGATAGAGCTCATCACCCGCTATAAAGTCCTTATAATGGATTTACAGCCGAATATTGTGTTTTGTTTTTATTATGCAAGGACTTTGAACTGCTTTGTTAGTGATGTGAAAAAGTATTTGCCCCCTCATTATTTTCTATTTTAAACATCTTTATTGGACTTGTGTGGTTCAGAACCTTAACCTCTGTAAAACTAGTCAAAGACAACAGAAGGAAACACAAAATACAGTTTCTGAATGGTGTTTATTATTAACAGAGAAAAAAATCCAGCCCACATGTCCCTGTGTGAAACAGTGAGATGACACAATGAGATTTTTTTTATTTAAAAGTCATTTTAAATCATGAAGCTTCACTGGCATTTCTCTTTCACAACACTATTGCATACTGACACTTGATTAACTGCTGACTCCTAATCAATGATGATATCACATTAGACAGATTCTACCTGTTTAAAAACTAAATTCAGAAGTCCGAGGACACTGCACTTTATTAAAATGTACAAAACATGTTGTGCTTCTCTGCTGCTCAGTGGCAACTATTTTGATTGAATTTTCCAATGAACACCAAATGTTTTGAAAGTCAGTCCAACGTTTTTTACCAACTAAACTCATTGGAAAAAAGCTGGATGAAACCCCATCTGACTGCTCTGAACAAGGGTTTTGTGTGCATTCAGATATAGACATGGATGACTCGGAGTCCATGTCAGATGAGTCAAAACTCACTTATCTTCAGAATCCAAGCCTCGTTTTGAGGAATTCAAAATTTGGAAGTACTTCAACATCATGTATATTTTTCAGTTTGATTTTCCTTTTTTCACTGTGGTCACTCTTTACTGCCTGGTATGAATAGCAATGTGAGGATATAATTATGTGTTTGAATCATGAAGATTTCAGTTCATTGAACTAAAGGACAGAGGATCCCAAACGGTCAAATCTGTCCATTTCCTCTGACAACTGTCACAATACGAACCTGACTAAACACAATATTTATATTTGCATGAATTAAGTTGTATAAGTGTAAAATCATTGAACTGACGTCAGTGTCTCCATGTGATCCTCACTTTTCATGCTGCAAATAGAAGAAAAAGAATTTGTGAAAATCTCTACTAATCACATTTAATATGAAACAAAATGGCTTTTAGAAATGTTTTTATTTTGGCAGAGAGAGTCAGAAAGCATTTTCTCTGTTTCACAAAATTAAGAGCTATTTTAAAATTGCACTTGGGACAAAATGTGCACTTATTGGGAGAACTGTGGTTTGTCCTCATATCCTTGATTTACTTTTAGCTTTATGCTCAGAATAATGTTCCAACAAAACCGTTAGGTTCAAAACACTGTAAAGTATTATTAGGATACTAAACAGTAAATAGAGCCAAGGAATGCTTAATGTGTCAAAACAATGTTGTCATTATGATGTGCCCAAGAAACTAAATTAAAGTCGCACGTGAATAAATTTGTTTACACGATAAATCACCAAAAAGCATTCTGCGCCATCATCCTGTAAATACTTCCTGTTTCCTTCTTCATGGTTTCCACCAGTGGCTACACCTGGTTGTTTATCATGTGATGGGGAAAAAATGTTTAATTTGCAGCTTTGAGAAATAAACCAGCTTCAATACAGCCAAAATCCCACCTCATGCTTGAGGTAAAACCTTTTATCAAAAACGTAGTGTTCTCGAAATTGTCAAAAACACTTTTGCCGAAAGAAGCAACTTTTTCTTTCAAAATGACAGCCTGTCCAATGATATGGTCAAAATGATATGGTCAATGGAAATGCAGCTAGTGAGAGCGTCTTTACCACTGAGTCTCGTAGATGAGGCAATATGCATGCAGCCATTTTTCTATGAGAGTGAGACAATGTTACCTGCAGCACAAGGGTAGTTGTATTCGGTCTCAGCTTGGTCACCTGTCAGAAAGGAAACACAATAAGTTAAAAGAGAATCACATCAGACAAAGCTGTGTAAAGGAATCAGGCTTTACTTGGCTGGTAGTAGTCATAGATCTTAATCACAGCTGGCTTCAGGTTCTGCACTGGGAGCTCCTGCTTGAGCTCTAAGCTGTGGTTGATGGCTACCCCTCTCTGTAGCTGATAGAAGAAGAACTGGTGAGAACTGGTTTAGAAATGTGTGGAGCGCCACCATCTGTTACTGCTGGGAACTCCTCTTACCTCCCGAAGATACATCACAATATGATCGTCCTTCTGTTCCACACGGTCCACCAGCTGGGCAGCTGTGAGCTGTAATGAAGACACCATCCAGCTCACTGTTTATTACTGTGACCATGACGACGCCTGAGACTAACTTTGACGGTCTGGTAGTAAACATTACCCTCTTCAGTGACTCTGAGTCTGGAGCAAATCCAGTCAGAACTTTGATGTCCACAATCACCATGTTTGTGGTGCTCTCCTTTCCACTGTAGCTGATACAGCAAACAAACAACCTTCAGTGTAAAACCGTTTTATTGCCAAAATTAGAGGCTTTTTGACGACTTACAGCAGGGATGTCAAACTTGTTTTTGTTTTGGGCCCAATCAAGGTCATACATGCTCTTAAAGGTCCAGTTGTGCCAGAATGTATTGGTAAAAACTTTTCACAAAGTGTTAAAATATCAACCAATTCTTAAATTTAAGTAATATTATTGAACATCTTTTCAGTCCTTCCAGGATTTTGTGGCACTAATTTGGAAATACTTGTAATATTTGTTCTTATTTATGGCAGTAAATACAACAGTTTATTACTCCCGGTATAGCTTTTGGACTACAATCTGATATCAATTCAAGCTGAAGCAGCTTTTTAGTATAATTAAGAAAGTTTTATTAAATTATTTGACAAAAATCTGCAATAAACTCCCAATTAGTGCAAAAAAGTGAGAGGATTTGTTCATTTTGTGTGAATTTCTATGACAATTCTCAAGCAACTGGAGGGACTGATTGAATTAGTTTGGCAGCAAACATATAAAACTGCATTGATGTTATTGACAGCATGATATTTAAGAACACTTAGTGTTTAGTCTAGAATCCATTTGGAGTTTGTGACTCACAGGGACTGCAGCTGAATGGTCAGTCTGGGTTTGTGAGGCGTGCCACTGCAGTTGGCCTCTAGTTCAACCTTCATTCTCAGTGTGGTGGCATTCGTAAAGGTTGGGATGTTGAACTGATGAGAAATCTGAGAAACATAAATATGGTCTACTTTATTGATTTAAGTTTTTATTTAAGTTATCCTGTAAGCAGCTGCTGATGAAATTATGGAAACGTCAAAAACAAACATGTTCTCTAAAGTTGTCTGAACAATTCATTTGTAATACTTTGCAGGGCCTAGTGAATCTGAGCAGGAAGTGAACAACACCAACCTGAACTGAGGCGCATCCAGTCCCCTTCACCTCCAGGCTGTACTTTCCTTCCACGCCCTGCAGCGTCTTCTCCTGGTAGAGCAGCTTGTTGTCTGGGGTCACATCAAAGGTCAGCGGACCACTGGGAGACTGAACTGTCACCGTGCTGGAACCTTCAGGACTGAACACCAGACTGGAGTAGAGGGACAGAGCCTGAAGAGCCACCACCGTGTCCTACAAAGGTTCAATGTGTCAAAAATCTACCCTAATATAGTCAGTTTACATGAGAACTGAAATAGGCAAGTCAGGCTGAAACGATTCATTGAACGATTCAAGGACCAAACCGTTTTAAGATCATCAAAGCACAAAATTAGTGTTTTCTCTTATTTGAGTTCAATAAATCTAAAAGATGAGCTCAACAGATCACAGAAAACCGAGCCAACCCTTCATCAGCAACAGTTCCATAGGAGTCTGGCATTCTGGGCATTTTCCCTGTGGACTGATGTCCTGTAGGGATCTATAGTCTCAACACTTCTCTTACTCACATAATGTTCTGACCTGCCCATCAAACCAGTATCAGCAGCCCACAGACTCTGAGCTGGCCCAATCACAGCAGTCCCTTTTCTTTTGGTCCTGTCCACATGAATTACTCTGGAAAGAAAAAGTCTGCAGAAAGGTCCACCAGCTCTTGAAGGACACTCTTGACATGGCTCTGGTCCAGTCATATCATAAAACATCTTCTCCTTTTGGCTTTATTAGGTGCTACGCGATGTTTCTGGTGTTTGATCCACCAGAAACATCAGTATGTCTTTATACATGCTAACAAGACAAACTATATAGTTTCTTTCTAGAATGTAAATACAAATTATAATTTGTTTGTTTTTACATAAACATGTGGAGGGTTTGAAAAACATAGGAGGGTTTCCCCCACTAAACTTTCTGAGCCTGGCGGTCGGGGCGCCAGGGCGGTCCACCAGCAGGACTCCATGTTTTTGTATTACAAAAATGTTTTGTTGACAGATTGACACATTTTTGGTGCTTCAGTACCTGAGTGGACAAGAAACCGCCATATTGGTTCTGTTGGGTCGTCAGCCATCTGACAATGCCTGAGGCGTAACCCAGGTCTTCAACAGTGGGGGAAGCAGAGAGTTTGGCCAGCAGCACATAGGAGCTGATCTCCACAGACAGAGAGGCTGATGTTTCTCCTGCTGTCTGAGACCAGTGGATGGAGCCGCCTAAAACCAACCATCCAGAAACAACATGACTCAAGACTGATCTAATCTGATCTGGTCAGCCGTTTCCAGCAAAACCTCGACTCACCGTCTTTGATGGCCACTGAGTCGAGGTGCTGCAGGAGGTGAGCTCTGGCCTCCATGTCTCCAGCCAGAGTGAAGACGTACGCCAGCAGAGCTGTAGTGTAGATGTTGCTGAAATCATTGATGGACTCTTTGAGGCACAACAGGCTCCGTCCCACCACAGGATCCTTTGACAGAATGAAGTCATCATCACTCTGACAGATACTTTATGCCAGAATGATACTGTCACTGTTGTACACAGATGTGCTTCAAAAATCACCATCATTGGTGCGGCTGAGGCTGCGCTTTAGCTGAGGAATTTGAATTGTGTGCTTTCGACTAAAGCAACAATAGTGAGACGTTGACAACAGAGTTTTCCCAAACGCACAGCGTCTGGTTGTCGGCTGTGTAGACACTGCAGGGTCAAACTGCTGAGATATTTCATGGTTTTGGGACTTTAAATGGAAACATGTTTGAGTCTTTGCTCACAAGACAGAGCAATCAAAACATCTATAGAACAGGAAGAATTTCACCAAAGTAGTAATCAGAAAAATAGTTTTTAAAGTTCAATTTTATTGTATGTTTCTTAAATGTACTTACATTCACAGAGATATTCATCTCCAGAAAGGTAGCGGTGATGTAGGCACTGAGAGTCACTTCATCCGACACGCCGCCCTGTGGAGATCAATTTACCACCCGTTTCACCTGTGCTTAAAAAATGAGTTTAACCAAATTCAAAGAAAAATCTTATTCAGTATTTTAGTCATTCTGTCTGTATTTTATTGGACCGTAGACGATGTCAACCAGGAGCTCTTCCAAAGTGTGCAAATTTGTCTGAGGTAAACCACTTATTACTTGTTTCCTGTCTTGCTGCGTGTGGTTCTACTGGTAAATTGTGTCTCGTGGGTCTAAATATGATGAGATGAAGGGTACTATGTGGAACATCATCTTTTTTCCATAAGCAAAGAACTCATGTTGATTTTTGTATGTAGACCCATCATGACAAATTTTTGCTGTATGACAAATTGTCCCACAAATTAATGCGATGAGTGAGAATATTGTTGTTTGGAGACTATTTTCAAGTAACACACTGGTAATGGCATATTGCAAGAAAACATTGTCAAAGATAAATAAACTTTCATTTCTAATGAACATTTAACACTCGAACTGGAAGATGTTTTAAAGGTGCAAAATACATAAACAAAAACTGAAACCGCAAATAAAATGGACACTCAGAAAGGAGATGAAGGAAACAGTTCTTATTCTATACAGTACAAACTCTACTTTGGCTACTGAGTGAACTTACTTTCATTCTGTTGTTGAAGAGATTCCCTATTTTGTTGAAACATCCGTTGCTCTTTTGTCGTTGATTCAACCAAGTCCTGGACGTCTCTATATTTACTGGATCGATGTCGATGAAAGACTGAGCTTTGAAAAACGATCTCAGTACAAAAGATGTCAGCCTGAGGAACGCCAATATGTTTAGCACATAATTGAATACAATGAGAAACAATTGCAGCGATTTTATTTTTTCCTGGGGCCCAATGATTGACTTGTGTGATTAGTTAAAATGTGGAATAGTGACAGCAATGAAAGTTGCCTGTAAAAATAGATAATATGTAAAGTTTCTGTTCCATGAATGGTGCCAGTTCAGTCATATGTAACTTTTGAAGTGGAATCTTTTATCAAAATTTCTATCAAAGAAAATGATGCAGATGGAAAAGTGCTCTGTTTTATGGTGTCTTGAGAAATATTGTAATGATTTTCCCAGCTTGTCCGTTAATCCACACAGACACAAGAACATTTATAGGAATATCCTCACCAGGTGTTTCCTGGTCCTTTGCCGAATGTGCTGTATGCCCCCTCAGAGTCCTTGTAGTTCAGTTGTCTCTGGTAACCTTAGAAAAAAAGAACAGCCATTATTAGACATGTTTCTTCGTGTTTGTTTGAACTGCACCATATTCTGGACAGCCACAGACGTACAGAAAGGTCAGACTATAACAGTCATTAAAACTGAATAAGCTACCACTGGACAGGAAGTTGAAGGCCTTCTCTTTGATGGCTGGAGTCAGCTGCTGAGTGTTTTTAAGATAATGGAGGATGTAGATGTTGGGGGCCAGAAGAGCCATGTTCTGCTCCCCACATCCATACGGCATCTTCAGCAGGCCCTCAAGGTTCTTAAGAGCGCGGCCGAGGATGTCTCCTAGATAAAAACACAAGATTAGATTACACCAAATGTAGCAAAAGTACCATTAGCAGCCAAACAACTTCCACAAACAAAGTGAAGTAGTCAACAGGTATGTGTTTTACATGAATAATCATTAACACTCTGCTAAAGCTGTGGGCGACCAGGCCAACATTAAAAGGCAGTTTGCAGCAATAGCTGCGTTTCCATTGACCTAAAAATGCATGCATTGATTTTAGACTGTGAGCAGCCAAAGAGGAAGCTGGAGAACACAGAAACTACACAAAACGGCTAAGGAAACTTTGCAAAACTATCTTAATGTGGCAGTATTATGTATTTTTCAGGCACTTAACAATTGAGTAATTATATTACCTTCAGTTGTCATAAAAATCCTGTATATATCAAATATGACAAAAGAAATTGACATTGTAATTTAATTGCTTGGACCTCTGTCTCTTTAAAAACTCTTGATCTTTCTGAAACTCTGCCATCAGATCATCACTCCTCCATTAACCCTTTGAGAAGATTTTTAACAGCGTTGCACTGAGAAGTTGTTATAATGAGCTCAGCAGATGCAGTTCCACCAGGTGTTTGCCAATTACTACTGGCTAGTCTGAAGGAGCTGAGAGGGGGAGTCCTGTTGGAGGCAGAACATGTTTGATCATTGACCTATCAGTAGAATGTGCAGCATGTATTTACCCAGGACTGACACTGTGACACGGGCTGAGTCATCAATCACATTTTCAGGCAGACGAACCTCTGTTTCCTCCGTCAATGTTTCTCCTGAGTACAAACAATAGAAATGAAATTTATAGATATTATGAGGTCATTGGATGGGGCTTCAACAGGAACACACAATGGTTAATGTTGCAAATAAAATGTATTTTCTTCCTTTACTTTAACCTTATGAAGTGAATCACACAAGAATAATTTTGAAGTGCTTGCTTCTTGATTTAATTTGCACATCAGTCTGTGTTCGGTTTGAAACACACGAACCTTTGGGGCAGAGCAGCCAGTTCTGTGTTTTTGTTATCTCAGATCCTTCAATCTGTGGAGGAGATGAAACCAGACAAAATATTTGACATCAGTTGCTTTGATAAGATGGTGTTGAATTGATTCAAATAATAAAAAAATATTATGCTTCTTTCATGCTTTTTATGTTTTACATTCAGAAAGCCAACCTCTACTCTGAGAGAGCGGGTCACTGTGTCGATGCGTCCTCTTTCTGGAACCTCCACGATCTCGTTCTCACAGGAAGCGTGAGACGGAACAGCTTCAGCAGACACAGTCACATTCACAGTGCCTTAAAAACACCAACACACATTTCACCAGGCAGCAGAAGATTTGGTTACTGGCCACAGGTTCCTTCTTCAGCCTCTCAACCTTTAACATCCCCAGCAGTGACAGCAGCAGTTCTCATCCTCACCTAATACTGTGGGATTTATGGTCCAGCTCAGGGTCTTCTGCTCGTTGGCACACAGGCAGGAAGTGTACTGATCCCCAGAGAGGGGGGTGAGGGTGTAATCTGAGGAGGGGGCTGCAGTCACTTTCATCTGTTGAAGAGATACAGCTTAGGGTGTTGACACTGGGCTACACTTAGTGAGTTGGTAAGGGCCAACTTTAAATCACTTAGTTGGTTTAAAGTTGGCCCTTACCATGATGCATTTGGTCAGGTAGTTGAAGACGGTCGCCTTCAGCTCAAAGTTCTCCCCCCGGATGATGGAGTAAGGCAGGGTGAGCTCCAGGAAGAAAGGCTGGAAGACAGTGAGCTTCTGACGAGGAGCCAAACCAAAACCCTGAGGGGACAAACAGAAAGTCTCCGTCTCCCAGGTGGTGATGGTGTCTGGGACAGACAGGGACATCTCCTTGGTTCCAGAAGGCCTTGATCAACACATACACAAACACCAAACTCAATACTTTGAGATTTCACAATGTTGTCATGTCGACATTATCAGCCAATAAATGCTTGATATCGACGATCGCCATTGGTTAACACATTAAAAGGTTCTTATTTGACCTGACTCTGGACACTTCAGATATTTGTCATCTGAAGATCCATATCTGTTGCAGTGGGATGAAGCATACTGTACTGTAACATAAAAATGAGTAATGTAGAGTAAATGTAGAGTATCTGTGTGCCAGGATAGATTTGCTGTACAAAAAGAATAGCTCAAATAGAGTTTAAATCAAGATTGCAAATAGTATCAAAGTAGGCAGTAGCATTTTCTGACTGTGTTGCCTTTTTTTAGAGGTTGGTTTGGCTCTAGTGGCCTTTATTTGATAGTGAATTGACAGGAAAGTGGGTAATGAGAGAAGTGGGAAGACATGCAGCAAGGGTCACAAGGCCAGGAATGGAACCTGTGACAGCCATGTTGAGGAATAAGCCCCCCCCCCCTCCCGACTGTATAACCTTTAACCATTCAGAGTATATGCATGTGTGGCCTGGTATTTGATGGAGCGTAAGAGACATTTTTCCAACAAATACTAAGTTGTGAGTACCGACTGCTCCTTATGGGGCCCAAAGGCCAGGCCTTATTCGAGGAGATTTGTTTGGGGTGAGAGATCAGGTGTGAATTGAGTTTAGGTTAGATTTACGTACAAAATAAATAATTCTGTGTTTCCACCATCTCTTTTAGCTAATTGCATGCCCATGTAAACACACGCACACACAGATCACATGCGATCAAAGCTAAGATCAAATGAAATGACATGCGAGGCAACGCGCTCTGTAAGGTATTGCTGAGAAGATAGAGGCCAACAAAAGGAATTAGAAACTATTGTTAGATGTCATTTTGCTCTGTTAGCCCATGAGGGTAGCATGACAATAGACCAGTGCTGTATTTTGGTATTGTTGAAATAAGAATTTTAAAGTAACACAATAGTACATAAGTTAACTTTTAGGTTAAGATAAACTTAGATACAGATCCAAACTGGGACAGCTGGTGACTCTCTGAACTTACATAAATTCCTAATCAGAATACTCCTTAAGGAACATTTCAGACAGGGAGTGTATTGGCTATCAGGGCAATAAATTCTTTACTCAGGGTTGAATAGTTCAGGCAAACATTAAAAACTATAGAAGTCTGTTACAACATATAATCAAACATATTGGTATATTTCTTTAAGCATTAAAAAGCATGTTTTTAATTAGTTAGTTTTAGATCCAACTTATCGTCATTATTTAGCATTACATTTTGTGCAAGCTTGGTTAAAAATACAAACTACTTTCTTGTGGAAGCATCTCGAGGCAGAGATAACGCTGCAGAACCACGCCATAAATCAGGTCGAAGCCTGGTACGAGAAGAGCTGGGGGTTTGGGTCTCAGAGGTAATAAAATTAACATTAAGACAGCCCACACAAAGGAAAACACATCTCCTAATGCATATATTTAAATGAGGAGAATACACATTCTATAAAAATGGGTTGTTTTACAGCAGAAGTTCGAATCTCTGTGCTGAGTGAGAGTTTCCCGGAAGATGCATCTTTTGTCTTTTGTTTTTCCTTTTTTACTCAGTTCTTTGTCTCTGTTTTGTCATGTCTTGGACTTTTAATAATCTAGGTGAGATGCTTGCTGTAACATTCTGTATTGCATTGAATTCTTTGGATAAAACTCTGAATATCTGAAGTCTGACGTCGTATGATTGCTCTTTTCTCCCTCCACATGCAGACACACAAGAACCTAGGACGGAGGAATAAATTAACGAGCTAAATCAAGTTATTCCTCTTTTTAAATTCTTAACAGTATCAATAAATGAAATCAATTAGTTCAACTCATTGACTCTTTTTCAACCTCATACACTAAGAATCTGTCTGGAGAAAGGATAATTCTCCAACAACAGCACATACAGGTAATTGTTAGGTTTAAGGTGTAGTAAATGTTGGACTATAGAAATGAATGAAATCTAAGAAATTCAGAGCTCTGTGAAGACAGAATGACATACTATGTGTGTGTTATCTGCCCATGCATGCCTAGAACAAGGGTCTCCTGTTGCCTTCCAGTCCTGCAAACTTTAGATGTGCCTCTGCTGCACCTCACCTGAAGAGAATAATTAGGTCATTAGCAAGGCTCTGTAAATCTTATCTACACAAGGACAAGCTAATTCAGCCATTTCATTCCAGTGTTTTGTACCAGTGGCACATCTAAAAACTGCAGGACAGTGGCCCTTGAGGACTGGAGTTTGAAACCCCTGGCCTAGAACAAACCTTGCAGCCGTACGTTCTCCCCATGAATGTATTCAGACAGCAAAATAGCTCCATCTACAGGAGGCCTTAGACATCACATCAGGACGCCTCCTAAGTATCTGATCCAGAAGTTTCTTAATCCCAAAGTAGGGAAATGTATTTTTTATTGTAATAGAAATACAGAGTATGGGAAGAAACCACAGAGGATCTCCCAGAAACCCTTTGGGAATGACATATCCCTTCTGGCATGGTGGACGCCTCGAAATTTCACAGAATTATCCAGATGTGTTACTCCTGGTCTTAGATAAGTGGAAGGCAGATATGCTTCATTTCAGTTAGGAAATCATTTCATTGCATTCAAAACGGAAACTCACCCAACTTCCACCAGATCCCAAATCCACGTCTCAGGGAAGAACATGCGAGCGGTCTGAGCGGGAGGACGGACGGCTAAACCACCTCGTAAAGAGGATCTCATTCCATGTCTCTGAGGGTGACGCGCTTGACTCCACAAAGTTCGCTCTATGATAAAAAAGTTTTTAAAAACAAAACAACACAACCTCTCCCCCCCAAAAAAAACCCAGAAAACATTACAATGGGAAATAGTTGAATTAAATATGCAGGTGTTACTTGACAAAAAGAAAAAATACAACCTTCTCGATAGAATATGTTTGTATAGAATCTTAGGCATGAAGGACGGATAACCAAGTTCGTTACCATTTTCAGTCCTATATTCTGTATGAAGCAGACAAAAATAAAAATGTGTTATGTAGCCTTAATTTGTCCATTTAAAAGGCAGATAATTACATAATGTTATAAATATTTGACCCCTGACAGATTTGTTCAGTTTTGTTTATTCTCTTTGTCAAACTTAAATGTTTAACATCACCAAGAAGTGTTTCATATGTGACAATAACCTGAGTAAATTCAAAATGCAGTTTTTAAATGATGATTTTTGTTCTTTCAAGAAAAACGCTGGTTAGTTCCACTTACCTCAATAGAAAATGAATTATTATTTAACAGAAAATAAACAATTTTTTCTCTAAAAAGCTCGTTATACGGCAGACCTCAGAGGTTGAGCCTAAAATGGTTTTCATTGTAAAAACTATTAACAAGGTAAAACTTACAAAACATAAGGCAAATTCTTATGATCAAATTTTGTTGTTCAGAGAATAAACTGGCAATTTAGGTACTGAATACATAATAGATTTTGTTTTACTGGAAGCTAAAAAAAAAAAAAAAAAAAAGTCATTTCCATTACAAATAAAAGCAAATAGATTCAGGAAACACAAAATAAAATATGTCAGCATCTAAACCAAAAGTAGCTAAGAAATTTTCACTTGAATCTTAATGTGTATTTAATTGTCCAATCATTTCTCAGTAATTTAAAACATGTGTTACTTGAACATTTAAAAATATAGGATACATTTCTTTTTAACACATTTATTCAGTGACCATTATGCAATAGCTCACGTCATAATTCTGTATCTTTCCCCACAAACGTTTAGAGCTTCTAAACAATTTTCTAAGGAGCTTTTTATAATTTGCTCTCTGATGCGTTCAGGCAGTCAGAGCTCAACGGGAACATGGAAACTATAGAAAAAAGAAAAAATATTTTGTTGAAAACTTTCTTGCTCGGATGACATGGTTTTTCAGATGCATCACGAATGATACCTTTAAAAAAACTGCAATGAAAACAGTGTTTGCATCACGTTTCAGCAACTGGATGTTTTACTGGCAGAAAACACAAAGAAGACGACAGGAAGTGGAAGGAGGAAGTGGAAGGAGGAAGTGGCATGTTTTCAGTGACATTGTGTGACCGACTTACTCATCTGATTTCAGTCGTGTTTCTCTTTTAATGGTAGACCACAATAGCACAAAAATTTTATTTTTAACATTAGTAAAAATTTTGGCGAAGTTTTGTGCACATATTTGTGATGACTTGAATGAATTTAAAAAATTAAAAAATTAAATAAAATATTCAGAGTTGAGATTTACTAGTAAGTCCAGACTTGGTAGACAACTTATTTTCTAAATATAATTTCATTTGAAAACTACATTTTGTAAAAATTTAAAATTTTAGGTGGAGTAAACATTTCATTGGCATTTTGGTGTTATTTTACTAACGTTCAGTACATAAAATAAAATAATAATAAAAAAAAATACCAGAAAAAGTGTGTCGGCATCATTTCTCTCTTGTTGAGTGCTTCTCTTTGGTCTCACAATCACACAGTCCATTGGGTCGTCCACGTCATACAGTGCAGTCGATACAATCTTGACTGGAAGCAAGTTAAATATCTGAAAAAGAAAAACCTGCTCACAAATAGAACTGTGCGTCTTTATGTTATGATGTTTTTGTTAATGATCCAATCACAGACATCTTTTAGCATTTAGGTCCACATTCCACTCCAGTAGATGGCGGTAATCCACAACAACATGTTTCTTTCCAACCGCCATAAAAAAAGAAGAAGAAATTTTTTTTTTGATTTTTGATTTTTACCAAAACATTTATTTACAATAATAATAAAACAATTTCCTTTTTTTTGTTTTACAATAATCCTATGTCATACATTACAAAAAAAATACATTATAATAAAACATCAGTATAAATTAGTTCATTATTTTCTGAAATGATGCACAACACTTTGTCACATCCCCATAACTCTAAAAAACCCTGCACATTCCCAGTGGCCCTGTGGAAAGCAAACTCCAAACTCAGCCTCGCCTTGATGTTTACTTTCCACAGAGCCACAACATCAACTTGAGGTCTATCCTGCATCTTGTCTCTTCGAGTTATATATATAGCTAATTTTGCCTCGGCTAATAAATATTTTAAAAGCCTTGACTTAAAACTAGTCGCTTTACTATGACGTACTCCGTTAATAAATAGTGCATCGGTAAAAATCATTTTAAAAAGACTAAAAACAGTCGATAAAAAACTAAAAAAGACTATCAAACGTGTGCAATCTATAAAAACATGAAAAACACTCTCTGACAACCTACAAAATGGACACTCATTTATAAAACCAGGACTAATCACCGATAAAAATGCGTTGGTGGCTATAGCGCCATGGAGTATCCTCCACTGGAGGTCGCCAATCTTTTTTCTAATCGGCGGTTTGTACATTGTCCTCCAGTGCATTGGTTGTCCTTTCAGTCTTTCAACCCACACGCTGACGTCCCTCTTTCGAAGTGTTCTCTTGTTTAGAATTTTCACACAGTTTTTATATAAAGTCTTTGGTGCCATTTGCACAAATCCATTTCTGAGTCTATGGTCTTTAGCAGAGGACCGCTGTCCTCTTCAAAGCTTGGACTCAGAAGAACCTTAGGAAAAGGATATGTTTCTTTTGGCAGGCATTCTCCATCCTTGTATGCCTGAAATAAACTCCTCTTTTCCAGTCAATCTTTCTCTTATTCTCATCAGGACACGTTCCATCATTCTTGTAGACCTTACTTTCAGTGCGGCAGCGACCTTCTGGGCATCGCCAAAGTCTGCTCCTGACGCTCGAATCAGCCTCTTTAAGGTCACCATTCCGGCTCTAGACAGCGTCTCTGTTAGTCCCAGGAACGTGTCCTCTTCAACATCCAGTCTTGCTCCGTACACCAAGGGTTCTTCTAATAGCCAATGCAGAGAATCAGTCATTTCCGCTCTACGCAATCTAAAAAGAGCACATGATTTAAAAACGCTCTGATAAAATTGCGGAGTTCCTTTAAACCTTAGAAGACTAAAATTTGTTAAAAACAGAGCAGCATCCAATCCAAAGGAATTCACGCGTCTTAGAATGCAACTGGCTACATCCTTCCACACAGGAGATCCTATCAGGTACTTTTGTAAAAACTGTATCCTAAACACAGTGACTCTACTGCCCAGGTGGACAAGGCCCTGGCCCCCCTCTTCTCTGGATAAAAACAACACCGACTGTGGCACCCAGTGACGATTGTTCCAGAAAAAATTAACCATTTCCGTCTGTATTCTTGCCAGCAGCCCTGATGGTGGATCTAGTACAATGAGCTTGAGCCATAGTTGTGATGCGACCAGATTATTAAGCACTAACACTCTTCCTCTGTACGACATTTTTTCATGCAACTATTTCCATTTCGCAAGTTTGTTTGATATTTTTTGTTCTAGGTTTTCCCAGTTTTTTTCAACAAAACTTTTCTCGCCTAAATACACGCCTAGATATTTTAGGCCATCTTTTCTCCAGGTCATGCCTTTGGGGAGAGCCGGGAGTCCGTCGGGCCACTCGCCAACAGCCAGGGCTTCACTTTTTCCCCAATTTACTTTGGCGGCAGACAGCATGGAGAACTTTCTTATGATTTCTGTTAAAACGCTGACGTCTTTTTGATCTTTAATAAAAACCACGAGATCGTCAGCATAGGCAGACAAAACCAATTTGTCTTTAAAACCGGGTAAAACCAAGCCGTGAATGTCTGATCGCATCTTCTTTAAAAGGGAAGAGTGCATAGAGCATTCCCGAGAGCGCGCAGCCCTGTCGAACGCCTCTACACACTCTAAAAGGAGCACACAGGCTGCCATTGATCTTCAGCACACTCTCAATGTCACCGTACAACACCTGGATCTTGGCGATAAGACCCTCGCTGAACCCAAACCTCCTCATTACTTTCCAGAGGAAGTCGTGTTCAACGCGGTCAAAAGCCTTTTCTTGATCTAATGAAATCAAGCCTGTCTGTAGACCCAATGAACCGGAGACTTCCAAAATATCCCGAATTAGGTAGACATTGTCCACCATGGACCTGCCGGGGACGCAATAGGTCTGATCCCGGTGGATGACCTGCTCCATGGTTTTCCCTAGCCTAGTGGCCAGGGCCTTGGAGAGGATTTTATAATCTGTACAAAGGAGGGACACGGGGCGCCAGTTCTTAATTTCTTGCAAGTTTCCCTTCTTAGGCAGCAGGGTGATAACTGCCCTGTGGCAAGACAAGGGGAGCGAACTGGTAGACAGACTCTCGTTGAATACGTCGAGCACGTCTTGGGCCAGAAGCTCCCAATAGGCCTTGTAGAACTCGACCGTGAGCCCGTCAACGCCTGGAGACTTCCGACCCTTCATGCCAAGGAGGGCTGTGTGTAGTTCCTGCAGGCTCAGAGGCCGTTCCAACTCCAGGTTGGTCTCCGCAGAGACCTGAGGTAGTTCCTCACAGAACTCCTCCAACAGTTCGTCGTTCTCTCTGTGTTCGCTGCGGAACAGAGAACGGTAAAAATCCACAGCCCTCCTTCTTATCTGCCCCGGTTCGCTCAAATGTCAAGTGTCCGACAGCAAGGAGTGGGTCATTTTCCTCTGTCCGTGTTTCCTCTCCAGGCTGAAGAAAAAGCCAGAGGGAGCATCCATCTCTGTGATGACCTGTATCCGGGATCTGACCAATGCGCCTTGGACTTTATTTTCCAGCAGGTTTGCTAAAGTTAGCTTTTTAGATTTGAGAGCTTCAAAATACTCTCGATTTCCTGTGGAGTTACTAAGTCGTTCTAATTCCACTATACTCATCTCCAGATCTCTGATAGATCCGGCAATATCACGAGTGACATTGACAGTGTGCTGTTGACTCAGCAGTTTTATTTGAACCTTTCCATAGTCCCACCACTGCCTAAGAGAGCTAAAATCAGCTTTCCTTTCCCTAAAACCAGCCCAAAAATAAGTTAAAACCTCCTTAAAGCTCTGATCATAAGTTAAAGCAGAATTAAAATGCCAGTACGCGCTTCTAGGTAAAATGTTTCTGATAAAAACACTACCTTAAAGCAACGAATGGTCTGTAAAAGCCACTGGTAAAATCTGGCATGTTTTAAACACGTTAAAATGGTGTTTAAAACAATAAAAACGATCTAAACGAGCTAAAGAGATTTTACTATCAACAATGTGGGACCATGTATACTGCCTGGCGCCTGCATGCATCCTCCTCCATACGTCCACCAGGCCATGAGACGAGACCAGCTGCTTCAAGACCTGTTGGGCCGCCGGATGTGGCTCTGCCTGATTGCGATCTAAAAACTCGTTCTCAGTAAAATTAAAATCCCCACCTATAAAAACATAATTCTCGGTCCCGCAATCACCCAGCCTCTCCCCAATTTTCTCATAAAAACATTTCTTCTCTGCATTGGCTATCGGAGCATAGATATTAATAAAAAACATATTTAAACAATCAAATTTTGTCTTTACTATAAGACATCTCCCTTGCACCACATGTTCGATTTCTATAGAAAGTGGGGTGAAAGCTTTTGAAAAAAGAAAACCCACCCCCGGACTCTTGGAGGTGCCATGACTTAAAATCACCTCTCGCTCCCACTCCTTGCCCCAGTCTGTTTATATTGTACAATCACTATGTGTCTCCTGTAGATAGACGATATCAATTTTCTTTTGTTTCATCATCTGATAAATCAATGCCCGTTTTTCAGCCTCCCTCCCCCCATTTAGATTCAAGGATGCTATTTTAAATGAATCCATCTTAGGTAAAAGGCTAAAACAAACACACCAAAACATTAAATAGATATTAAAAACTACTGTAGGCCTACATCATAAAATTGTTTTCTGGCTTTAGACATTATTTTCTTTAACCTAAAAATTTCTGTGTCTGTGAAACCTGAGTCCTCTTTATGTCTAATGTGATGCCTTGCGGAAAAATAGAAATTCTTAAATTTGGGAAATAGCTCTCAAGTTTTATCCCTCTGAGACCTTTTGTTTGTTTTAAAAGGTTCTAAATGTTTCAACCGGGTATCTCGGTTCTCTACTCGTCTGAGATACGGAAGCTTCACTGGTATCTGAGAAATAACTCTCTTCATCACTGCTGTCCGATACCTCCCTGTTCTCCACAACCGGCTTACTTTCCTTCTTACTGGCCTGCACAGAAGCCACCACATTTTTCCTCTTGCTGCGCCGTTTCACCGGGACACAAGCTTCCAGCTCCAGTTCCTCCTCCACCTCACCTGTTTCTCCCTCCACTCCAGCCACTATAAACGACTCCACTGTCTTTTCTTTGTACCTGTTTCTCCCCCTGAACCTCCCCCCTCGCTCTGATCTCCACACACTCGATGCTCCTCATCACCCCTCACATCCTCCTGTTCTTTCTGCACACCATCACTCTCCTTCCCTACACTTCCACCCACACCACCATTCACCCCATCACCACACCACCGTGCTCTCATCCTCTCCTATACTCGCACCATTACCACCGTCCTCCACCGCCTCTTTAACAATGTTTTCTGTCACATCCTCCTCCACCACCGCTGGTTCCCCCGCAGCGGCAGCCGCGCCAGCAGCAGCAGCAGCGGCAGCAGCAGCGGCGGGGTTCTCCCGCCGCAACATTAGCAGTGTCTCCCTCCACAACATTCACCTCACTATTTGTTTTTTTACCCTGCTCAGCGGCAACAGGCTGCTGCTTTGCCGAGTCCGGCTTGGCCAGTTCTGCCTTATCAGGGCACATCTTTATGATGTGGCCCTCCTGCCCACAACCAAAACATTTCATCTGCCCTGATGTGGCAAAAAACATAATCAAAATCATCCACTCTAACGTGGAAGCGCAAATTCATTTCCTCATCCTTTCTGTTCAGTATCATAAATAACTGTCTACGGTGAGAAACAACATGTTTCAACAGCGGTGATTTACACCCGGAAAGGACTTTTTTCCCCGGCGACACCACCTTTCCGTGTCTCGACAGTTCTTTAATCAAAAATTCATCACTGATGAAAGGAGGTACGTTTGACAGCATTATCTTAGTGGATGGTAACGTGAGCGGTGAAACTTGTAAAAACAATCCATTCACCGAAACACCCTTTTCCACCACCTGCTGTGCATGTTCCACCTTCTCAACAAACACCACTGCCCCATTCATACGTGCAGCCGACCTTATATTCCCGTGCCCAATGATCTCACCCACCGCCAAACAAACTTCCTCCATGCTGCACGGAGAACCAGCACCCACCTTAATGCCTTTCTTCCGTGTCAGCGTGGAGAACGACCCACCACCGACAACACTCACCATTGTTGCCGTCAGACGCCGACGGCCACACCCCAAACAAACGAACAAAAAAAACCTTAAAACGTGATAAAACTAACACAAAATTACAATTGAACAAGTAAACTAGTCACCCAGTGAAAAAAATAGTAAGAAAAACAAAGATAGAAAAGATACACAATCGCACTCTCACTCACTCTTCCTCTGCTCCTCCTCACACACCCTCCTCTCACAAGAAGAATTTTAATTTTTTATTTTTAGCAATACATTTATTTATAAAAAGACAATGACAAACAAATCAAAACAATCATCCGTACAATATCCAACATTTACAAGAGAATTTTGTTATACTCCAAGTTGTTCTGTTCTGAAATGGAGCATAATCTGTCCTCGAAACCCCACAGGTCCACAAAATCTTTGAGGTTGCCTGTTGCTTTGTAAAAACAAAACTCTATCCTCAGTCTGGCTTTCACATTGATTTTCCACACATCAGTGACACTCAATTGAGGTCCAGCCTGCATCTTATCGCGTCGAGTCAAATAAATAGCCATCTTGGCTTCGGACAATAAATAATTTAAAATCCGTGATTTAGAGGCCGTGGCTTTACTATGAGGAACACCAGTAATAAAAACAGAACTGGTAAAAGCTATACTAAAAAGATCAAAAAAACTCGCCAGTACAGTGAAAAAGACAGGCAATCGGGCACACTCAGTAAAAACATGAAAAACGCTCTCGGATAACCTGCAGAAAGGACACTCATTTACTACGCCAGGACTAATGATCGATAAAAAAGAGGTCGTGGCGATGGCGCCATGCAGTATTCTCCACTGTAGGTCCCCGGTCCTTTTTCGTATTGGGGGCTTATACAACGTTCTCCATTGAGGCCGAGAGCCTCTCAGTCTGTCATCCCACACGCACTCGGGTCTTTTGCACAAAGTCTTCTTATTCAGGACTTTTGTGTAGGCTCTGTACAATGTTTTCGATCCTGTCTTACACAGATCCAGGTTCTTCTCCAGGTCTCGAAGGAGGGGACCGCTGTCTTCCTCAAATCTCGGGTCCAGAAACAGTTCCGGAAAAGGGTCTGACGGGTCAGGGTGACACTCCTTTGCAGCGTGTTTACGCAGGAGCTGTCTGTCCTCCACCGTCAGGCGCCCCTTCACTTTTTCCAAAAAACGTCGTGCAAATCTCGCTGACCGGACCCCCAGCATCAAAGTGACCTCCTGACCGTTGTCAAAATCCAGTCCAGCCACCTGGATTAGTCGCCGCAGGGTCACTATCTTGGCCTTAGACAGCATGTCGGTTATGCCCGGAACGCTGCCGTCAGCAACATCCAGACGTGCACAGCACACTAACGGCTCCTCTAACAGCCAATACAAAGAATCACTCGCGCTTGATCTGTGTACCTTAAAAAAGCCACACAATTTAAAAACACTTTGATAAAATCGAGGTATCCCTTTTAACTTTAAAAGATTAAAATCGGTAAAAAAAACAGAGCCGCATCCAGCCCAAGAGAGTTCACACGTCTAAGAGCACAGCTGGCGCCCACCTTGACGCCGTACCTCCGCGTCAGCGTGGAGGACCAACCACCACGGCGTCCGAAGACGCCGGCCTCGCGGCCACACCCAATGCCCCCGAAAAACACCTTAAACCGTGACCAAACTTAACACAAACCAACAATTAAACAAGTAAAACAAATCACCCAGTGAAGAATCAGTAATAAAAAGCCAAAAGATAAAGAAAACCACTCGCTCTCGCACTCTCTCTTCCTCCGCTCTTCCACTCACGTCCTCCCCACACAAGAAGAAGAAGAAGAATAAGATTGCAAACCAGCAAACTGGAGAAATATGAATAATAAAGGAAGAAAGCTATAGAAAAAGTACATTTGGTTCTTTTTTTTTGTAGGTTATTTCACTCTGGAGTTAACGGAAACAAAGTGACAGATAATCCTGCAAAGAAGCCACTAGAAACACATTAGTGCAATTAGTTAGCTTCCATAAAACAGAAATAAAAAATCTAATAAAGCGAGAGACGTTGAACATTGCAATGGTAATGTGAGTACTGAGGAGATGATGAGACTACAGACCCTGTCACTTCACACTGTTAACATTATGGGGAAGAAAGAAAATAATTTATTCAAAACTTAAACGGAATTAAAGTTGAACTACATTTGGTTGATTTTCTTGAAAATACAAAATTAGAATTAAAATTATGGAGTAACATTTAGTAAATTAGCACATCTGTATAACAGAAGATAATCCTTCAGTGACGTTCTCGTCCGCACCATGCATCAGTCTGTTGTTTGCCAACCACCAATAAACACAACGAAGAAGAAAAAATCGACAACTAACCAGAGAGAGAAAGCTAACACTAATAAATCCATTTAAATAAACTACATATAGAGGAATGAACTGGCATGGCAAGAAACTCACAGGAATAGTAATGACATGAATATGGCAAGACGTATTGAGTAATAATGATTACAGGAACTAAGATCTAAGAAAGTAAACATTAAGGATCAAAAGGATCAAAATAGAAATGTAAAATGAAACCCAAAAATTCAGCAGTGAATTTGAAACAGTAACTTTATTTACTGAGGCATTCGAAAAATAAAGACAAGAGCTAAAGCTACTGGTAAGGTGTCATCTTTTCAGGCTGAATAAAAAGCTAGACATGTGTTTGTTGACACATTACCTTGTCTGCATCCAGAGAGTGTCCAGCCTCCTTGATGAAGACGCTCTGATCGATGGCGCTGACGCCACACACAGAGCCAGGCTGAGCCGTCAGCTGCAGCTTGATTTCTTCTGCTGGAACGGCTGGAGACGGAGAAATCTGCAGAGAGACCTGGTGCAGAGAGAACCTCATCAAACCTCTAAACTTAGTGGTATCCAATAGTTATTTACTCTGGGTTGTAAAAGTTTTTATTAGTGGAAACTACTTTTCTTCCTTTTTTGTAAGTTGCCACATCCGATATTGTTATACCAAAATATGTAACTACAAAAGATTGATCTCTGGATCAAACCTATCGAAGATTGGTTCCACCAAGTCGTTTTCTTGAACTGACCTTGTTGCTGAAGCATTCCTCGGTTAAGAAGTAAGTACTGCGAACAATCATAGCCTCACTGGGCAGAACAGCGTACGCCACAACCAGGACTGCTGGAGCCATGTCTGCAGACACCGTCAGGCTGAAGGACACTTCACCTTCATTCACTGAAAAGTCAAACCAGTTATCAGAACCTTTGGCCAGCCATACGTCACTATGACAAAAATTAAACACTAAAAATGTTATCTTCAAAGCGACTTTAAGAGTACAGTAAATATTAAAATATCTGAACACATCATTACCAACCTAACTTATCTTGCAAAACGATTTGTTTTTTCCCTTGCATGATGAAGGCTCCTCTGGATTGGACCTGCCCAGTTGGAGAGGAAACAGCACTAAGATGCTATAGAGTTTTTCGGTTTTGATGTGGTACAAAAATGTTTAGTGTGTTTAAATCATTTAGTGACTTGTTTTGGTGAGAAATGATCTGCTGTTACAACCTTGAGTCGGCACAACTAAAACACCCACCAAGTTCAGCTTAAATTGAATTGGCATCGGGTGTAACAAGTTGGTCCAGGTCCATTATTATGCAAAACATGTTGTATGTTTCTTCCATATTGAGATCTCATGCTTCTAGAAACTGTCCCAAAAAAAAAAAAAAAAACACAACAAAAGACTGGCATTTTCTTGGTGGTAAGTAAAAATGTTCAGCCTGTTTCAAAAACTTCTAAATAGTTATGTCACAATTTGTTTTATCTAGCAACCCCAAGCCACGCCCAGTCCCTCACTTGGCAACCCAAGTGGAGCTCCACCCATGTCATAACGTTGCAATGGCTGCTGGAAAAGGAAAATATTTTGCTGTCGGCTGCAATTCAGAAAATGCATCCATGTGTCCATGCATTTTGTCCCAGAGCTGCATGGCTTCATCTTATTTCTGCTTGTAATGTCCCTGAGATGTTGCCAATGAAAGTTGTTGTTTGTGCAGATCAGTTCAGAATGGAGGTTTATGGCTTGATGGTCGTTCAGGAGACTCTGATCCTCTGCTTCTGGCTCAGAAATGTACTGTTGTACCACTGTGTCATTTTCATGTGTCATGAGGTGCTCATAATGTAAACACTTAGTTAGGAGGGTGTGGCCAGCAGCAGCAGCTCATTTGCATAATTATGACATAGACCTATAATAGCACATTCCTTAATGCAGAACTGATTGGGTGAAATCTCAATATCTGAGAATGATTTTGTGCATTAAATGTAATGAACATGTTTTGCATAAGCAACAGAGAAGAAAGTAAAATATTTGGACATTAATATTAAATCTTCCGATGAAAAAAATTTTTTTTCACATGACAATTTAGAAATGTTTTCATTGGAATATATGTTATTCAAGTGTTTTTATTCCATGATACTTTCATAAAACATGCCGATGGCCTGCAGGGTACTTACCAGGCAGAACATGTCCACTGTTCCCTGGGTTTCCTTTACTATGGTGTACTTCACAGTGATTTCACTCTCTTGGTCACATAAGAGAGACATATTCTTCGTTACTTCCAGAGAGCTGCTTGTTCCGGTGTAAGGAGAAGGAGGTAGCACCTCGGACAAAGTCAGTCCTCCTTTCACAAAGGTTCTTTCATCCTCAGGCGACTGACCTAACTAACGTTTAAAGATGAACATGATGCAACATGAATATAATCGACTTGAACTTTGGTTCAGAAATGCACCTTTTAGAAAAATCAATGCATCAGTGCTAAAGAAGCGACCACTGTGAGATGTGAGGGAGATTAGGTTTACCGCCCAAGGCTTCACCATCGCAAATGTTTGTTTACAAATTAATAATAAGTTTTATTCATCGAGATTCTTTAAGAGATAAAAATCAAAAAGTGCTTCTCAAAGAGAGAACCAAAGTTAATCCACCCAGTGTCTCTACATTGAAGTATCTTGTTGCTGAAATAAGCAGATCAAATAAGCTGTTAGGATAGATATGATGAGGATGTGATACTTTATATTACTCAGTATTGTTTCTTCTGCCAGTTCAAATAACTGGGGTCTATGATGTCATGTATGAAGCTTGTGCAGACTTATGCATTCAGGGCATTATTTGTCTATTTTTTTTTAAATTATCCCACCTCTCCCAGATACAAACTCAAGTTGAGGTAAATGTCACATTAGAGGATAATAAGGTTTGGAAATGTTTTATCTTACTCTCATTGTTAGGCATCATTGCTTTAACTGAGATTTGGAGTCTTTCTATATCCACTGTATGCTCTGTGCAATATCTAACTGCAGATGTCAGGATTGCTTCACTATATCTGGCAGATGAAACGTTAGAAAGGGCAATGCACAGCTTTGCTGTCACGTTATGATGAACAAGGAGGTGGGCAGTTCAACAAGAGGCTAGAACAGGGAATCCTTCATCTCACAGCCACCAAGAGTCAGACAAATGTCTCCACATCAATGTTTGTCTTACCAAAAGGTCGATTTGCCCTTCAAATGTATCAGTGCTTATTGAGAAAGCAGCAACACCATCACTGTCAGTGATGAGGTTCTGTAGCAAACTTTGATCGTAAAACTTCTTAAACAGAAGCAGTTTCATGTGAGGAATGGGTCTGTCATCATAATCAACTGCTTTGACCTGTTGGTATAGAAAAGAACAGAAATGTAGCATATTTGATAATACTCATTGTGTAAATTGCTTTGGCACATGTTGAAAAACTAAACAGCATTTGTTCCACTTACTTTTCCTTCCACATTCGACCCTTTCTCATACAACTTCGGAGCATCCAAAAAAGACAGCGTTCCATATGACGTTACAAGATCTATCCTCTTCCCCTGAGTACGAGAAATACCTGGGGAGAAAAAGTCTCCCCCGTTTACTGACTCCATTTAATGAGTTCATGATACAAAGCACTTTAAAATTTAAGTATGGAAAAATAAATCTTTTAGCAAAGAGATATTCAAATGACCTGTCCCCTCCTCTTCCACCACAGCTTCGAGATCCAGAACATTCTCCAGTAAATGTTGATTGTGGTTGAAGACGGACATATTAAAGTTAAATGTACCGCAGCCTTTCCTGTCTGTCTGGAAAGTCAACAGAAGGTGAGTGAATATGTGGTAAAAGAAAGCAAACAAATATCTCTCATTGTAGATTTTGGCACATGTTGTTCTTCCATCTGGGTTTGATGGACAAATAATCAGTTAATGGTCATTTTCACCTACATGTCTACACAGCATTCTTTCATCCAACTGGTATCAAAGCAGTCGAAGTGAACAATATATCCATAACTCTACATTGTTGTGCTGCAGCTGTATAAACTGGAAGAGTCTGGGTGTGATTGTGTCCTCACAGGATAATTGTATTTACCACCGTACCTGCTTTGTCTCTGTTTCACAGATGGAAAATCGTTCATCGTGAGGTTGGCACACCTTCAGTGTAATACTTCCTGGGACAGGCTGTCCGTATGTGTACCTTCATTCAATGTAGAAAAAACTACTTAAAGTCTGAAATCTGCTGTTTGTTAAGAAAAAACTCAGTAGCACTTTATTTGACAGGGTGCACATAACACTGACAATCATAAATATGACATAACACCCATCATGAACATGAAAGAGCTTTTATGAATGTCTATGACTATGAAGTGTCGTTCGTCAAATTATGACACTTCCAATGCAAAGTTGCTCTAAAAGTTGATTTAAAGTCCAGTAAAAGTGCCGACTTTGCAGTAAAGTATCATTATTTCCACAATATCGCAAAGTTTAAAGCAACTTCTAGAGCAACTTTGCAATACAAGTATCAAAAAAAGCTTTACCAAAAACTTTTACTCACTGAGCACAAACTTTAGGATCAAACTCTCTTTTCCAGACATTCACTTTCTTCTTCACATGTATCGTCACATCAAATTTGGGTAAAACTAGAAACAATAAAAATAACTCATTTCCATTTTGCTAAATTTTCTGCTCACAATGATAGAAATAATGAACGACCGACCCATAAAATCAGGGCTAACTTACCGTATTTCTCCACCTTGAAGCTGTGAAATTTCCTCTCTCCATCTGTTTGCACAGTGATTATGTAGGATCCTTCAGAGGCCTCAGAGTTCAGGGAGTGGGACAGCTGCAAGAATCTGCTATTGGATGTTTCATTCAGCCACTGTCTAATCTTGTTTCTCCTAGAATCCTGTTCAGTAAAGCAAATCAGAAGAGCAGTTTTGCTATGCAGTGGATGACAGGATAAGATTTGAATATGCTCTGATCTTTAGTCTTAGACTCGTCTTTAGTTGTAATCACACTGTAGTCCTGTGATGACTCACGATTAATCACTATGCTCAACTTTGTAAACTTCAGAGGTATTTATGCGTGTTTAGTACAAAGCATCTTTCAAAAGCTGCCTGTGGAAATTTAGCTCAGAGAAATTAAATATCGATTACTAACTATCAGACATCAATATATGACTCATTTTCAGATTTCTCCAAATATATGTGCTCCTTAATTTGCATTGATTTGTGTGAAAATCAAAAATAAACTAATACTAAAACTAACAAGACATGCAAGTAGGTTTGCTCATGTTTTCTTACCTGCAGTTGAATGATGTTGTACTGTGAGAGAAAGAAAAGTGATGATTTGACAATAAAGAATTGTTTCTTTCTTTTTTCTTGTTTTCTTTTACATCAAAAAGCCATCTTTTCATTTAAGTAAACGTTTAAATAGTCAAATAATTTCGGCAGTGTGGAAGATTAAATTTCCAATTTCCAATTAGAAATCAAAGTAAAGTGTGACAAACCAACCACATTCATGGCAGAAGAAGAAGAAAAGCAACTAAATGTGAAATGCGTGATGTAATCAGGCATCACTGTGGTTACTTTGGCTTTTTATTTGACATTATCTTACAGATATCTGTATATAACATATAAGTATATATGTCCTTGTCTGGGGCAACATCAATAATGTAACATGAAGAATATTAAAGATTATCCAGTTTCAACCTGCAACAAGTCAAAATGTATAAAATAGTTTTAGATTCTGACACATTTTTTGTGCAAAGCTTCTCTTGGTTTCCAGACAAGAATTACAGCAGGACTCAGTGCTTAACATTCATTTACATCTGAAAAGTTCTCAATCTGTTATTTATACAGCAGACAGGCTTTCACTAGGAATTTTGCTGTTATTAGAAAGTGGAATGACACAAATTGCAACAGGGAGGAAGGATGGAAAAGAGGTGTGATGGCCAAATCCATGGCCACACCCTGATGTCAACAAGAAGTGCTAATTGGATTACACCAATAGTTCCTGCTGGCAGGGGGATATGGTAGTTTGTTTAGATAAGTTTTGTATTTAAGTAAATATTAGTATTTAAAGTTTGTTTTTGATTTTCATTTTTGGATCTTTAGTTTAGCCAAACTTAGCTGTACTATTTGTTTTGTGTTATTTGTATTTGTTTAGTTACCCCTATTGTGTCATGGTCTGATCAGCCAGTATATAAACCCCTGTGTGTCATTTCTTTGTTAGGTCAGTTATGTTTGTTGTGCAGTTAGTTTGTTTACACTTTTGCCTGAGTTCAGTTTTGTTCCTTTGACCTCTTTTATGAGCTCAGTTTATTTTTTGTCATTTATGATTTTGGGTTAAAATAAAAACCCTATTTTTCTAAATATATCTTGTGACTCCTCCTGTTTAACTCGGTCCATCACATGTGGTGTCAGAAGTGGGATTTTGAGTTGAGGAGCCAGGATTTTTTTTTTTTTTTTGCTTTTTGGGAGGATTTTTTTTTTTACTACTCCTCCAATACATTTTTGAGCCATGCAGAATGGTGTGCGCCAAAGGAAAGCAAACAAGGTTGAGACCAAAGAGGCTTCCCAGCAGTCAGACAAGGAGGAAATGGAAGGAGGAGCTTCAGCAGCAGCTGGAGACACTGAGCTTGGTGAGACCAGAGAGCCAACGCTGCATGATATTGCTGGAAGTCTTCAGGCGTTCATGGGACAACAAGAAGTTTGGGATAAAAAGCAGAGAGAGGTTTCTGCACAACAAGAACAGCGCTTCAAGTGTCTGCAGCACCAGTTTCGGCTTTTACAGATGGAAATGCATGCCAGGACTACCCTGTCCACGGAGCCTATATCAAATGACCCACAGCTTGTTGGAAATCAAGCTGATCATCAAACTCAAGCAACATCTCAAGCTGAGGATTTAGATTAAGCTTCCAGCTCAATAGGTCAGTCTGTGCATTTTCATCATCCTAAATTGGAAAAATTAACTGCTGAGGATGATATTAAACACTTTCTTACCACTTTTGAGAGAATTGCAGCTGCTTATCGTTTGCCAAAGTCAGACTGGATTTTTCACCTCATTCCTCTTCTGACAGGTAAGGCTCGCAGTGCCTATATTAACATGGATGTGGATGATTCCCTTGAATTTGAGAAGGTAAAAGTTGCCATCTTACAAAAATATGATATAAATCCAGAAACTTATAGACAAAGATTTCGCTGCCTTGAAATTCTTGATGAGAGTCCAAAAGAACTGTATTCAAGGCTGAAAGAACTTTATGAGAAGTGGATTCAGCCTGAAGATAAAACTGTGAAACAAGTTGGTGAACTGATTATTCTGGAACAATTTTTGAGAATGCTGTGTCCTGAGCTTCAGGTTTGGATCAAGGAGCACAATCCAAAGTCTGCTGCAGAAGCTGCTACTCTGGCTGATGTGTTTGTAGCTGCCAGAAGTAGGAGTCAGCCATGGAGCAACAGTGCATGGAGAGCTGCCAAAGACTCACATCGGTCACAACCCTCTCAGCCTCATCAAAAGCTAGCAACGGGTGTGGGTAAGCCTTTTTTAAGAGAAAATCAGCCTTCCAAGATATGGAAAGGACCACCAGTGTGTTACCTCTGTGGACAAGAAGGTCACACCAAGCCCATGTGCCCCAAGAATCAAAGTAAGCTAACTCAACTGTGTTTTGTGCCTCAAGAGAGGATGGATATTAAACTTGAAGTAAAGCAGTCAAATAAAATCATTCAAGTGAAGATTGCTGGACATAAAATGAATGCTTTAATAGATACTGGCAGCACACAGACTCTAGTACACAAGAATCATGTACCAACTAATTGCATATGCCCCTTAGAAACAATATCAGTTTGCTGTGTACATGGTGACGAGAAAGTGTACCCCACTGCTGATATGTTTGTTGAGGTGCAGGGGACTCCCTACCTGTTGAAGGTTGGGGTAGCTGATAACCTACCCTATCCTGTAGTTCTTGGGGAGAATCTCCCTGTCATTTATGATTTATTGAGGGATGTACAGAGCTGTAATGTGGCTGTAACCAGGGCACAAGCTAAAAGTCAAGATGAGCATGTTGCAACACTCAGGGCATTATCCTTTTTTGAGGTCAAGTTGCAGACAGAACCTGGGAAGTCTCGGAAGCCACGGAGCCAAAAAAGGCGTGAGAAATTTCAACATGCACTGTGTGAGAGTTCAGCTGAAGTGGCTCCAGATATGCCACTGGGTTTTTCGATACCCACAAACATCAGACAAATGCAGCAGAATGATCCAACTTTGTCTGTCTTGCTGCTGAAGGCTAAGGGGGAGGCCTCTGTAGGGTCTGACATAAATAAAGAGCAGTATTTTCTGCAAGATGGCATTTTATACCATAAACATGGCCAGTTAAAGCAGTTAGTTGTCCCTAAGAAGGCTTGTGAGACAGTGCTGACTTTGGGACACTCTATTCCTTGGGCTGGCCACCTGGGGAAGTATAAGACCACTGCTCTCATTAAGCGGTACTTTTTCTGGCCTGGTTTAAGATCAGATGTTGCTTTGTTTTGCAGAAGCTGCCCTGAGTGTCAGAAAACCTCAATTAGAGTCCCAACCAAAGCACCACTTCAACCTCTTCCCATTATTGGCACACCTTTTCTACTTCTTGGGATGGATATAGTTGGACCTGTGGAAAAAAGCAAATCTGGAAATCGCTTTATGCTGGTTATTACAGACTATACGACCAGATATCCTGAAGTTTTTCCATTAAAAACTGTTAAAGCAAGGCATGTGGCTTCCTCACTGATTCAACTTTTCTCCAGAGTTGGATTCTCACAGGAAATTTTAACTGATCAAGGCACTAACTTTATGTCCACACTGTTGAAACAGGTCTATAAGCTGTTGGGCATCAGGAGCATGAGGACGACACCATATCACCCACAGACGGATGGTCTGACGGAGCGGTTTAACCAAACCCTCAAACAAATGCTTCGTAAGTTTGTTAATGATACAGGATCGGATTGGGATCAGTGGCTGCCATACCTCCTTTTTGCCTACAGGGAGGTTCCTCAGGCTTCCACAGGTTTCTCTCCATTTGAGCTCCTTTATGGCCATGATGTGAGAGGCCCTTTGACCCTGCTGAGAGATGCATGGGTGGGAGATCAAAGTAAAGAAGATCCTGTTAATATTATCTCATTTGTTCTCCATATGAGGGATAAACTGCAGCAGATGAGTGAGTTGGCTCAGAGTCACATGGCAGCTGCTCAGAGACACCAAAAGGTTTGGTTTGATAAAAAAGCTTGTTACAGAAGCTTTGTTTCTGGTCAGAAGGTTTTGGTAATGTTGCCAACTTCTGACAGCAAGCTGCTTGCAAAGTGGCAGGGACCTTTTGAAGTACTGCGGAAAACTGGACCTATTACCTACCAAGTTTCCACACCAGGTTTCCAGCGAGGGAGTCGAGTGCTCCATGTTAATCTTCTCAAGGAGTGGGTTCCACGGAAGGAGAATGAAACTGAGGTATTGCTCATTCGCAGAGTGGACGAGGAGGAAGAGGTTAATGACTATTTGCCTTCAGTAACATCCTCTGGGCTGGACCTAAGCCATCTCACCCATGAGCAACAGTCTCAGGTAATGCCTCTTATTACTTCTGACATATTTCAAGAGTGCCCAGGTCGCACCGCTCTGGTGGAGCACAGCATTGTTCTAAAACCGGAAGCTGTTATAAAACGCCTGAGTTACAGAATACCAGAACGCTTCCGGGTGGAGCTGAAGGAGGAGCTGGACCTCATGCTGTCTCTAGGAATCATTCAACCTTCAGCAAGTGAGTGGTGCAACCCAGTTGTTTTGGTTCCAAAAAAGGATGGCAAGATAAGATTTTGCATTGACTTCAGGTACCTTAACTCCATATCAAAATTTGACTGTTACCCAATGCCACGTATTGATGACCTCATTGAGCACCTGGGGGAAGCAAGATATTTAACAACTATTGATCTATCTAAAGGCTACTGGCAGGTGCCTCTTTCTAAACAGTTCCAGGAGCTGACTGCATTTCGCACCCCTTGGGGATTGTTCGAGTTCACGGTCCTTCCATTCGGTCTGCACGGGGCCCCAGCAACATTTCAAAGACTAATGAATCAGGTACTCTGTGGGCTCTCAACATTCACCTGTGCATATCTTGATGATGTTGTGGTTTTCAGTGGAACTTGGGAAGAGCACGTTGACCATGTGAAGGAGGTCCTGGATCGGCTGCGTTCCGCAGGCCTTACCATCAATCCAGTAAAGTGTGCTCTTGCTAGGACAGAAATACAGTACCTTGGGTACACCATTGGAGGTGGCACTCTTAAACCTCAAGTGGACAAAATTAATGCAATAGCATCCTGTCCGCTCCCACAAACCAGAAAACAGCTACGGTCTTTTCTTGGAATGGCTGCATTTTACCACAGATTCATCCCCAATTTCTCAAGTAGAGCAGCATCCCTGACAGACATGACGGGTTCCAGAAGTCCCACCAAAATTCAGTGGACAGCAGATGCCATTGCAGCTTTTAAGGACATTAGCCAATCCCTGAGTAAGAATCCAGTTTTGCACTCACCAGATTTTACAAAAGACTTTTTGTTGCAGACTGATGCTTCTAAAAGGGGTCTTGGGGCAGTGCTTCTGCAGGGACCACCAGAGGACCAACATCCAGTTGCCTACATTAGCCGCAAGCTGCTGCCAAGGGAGAGGCGATATGCAACTGTGGAGAAGGAAGCCTTGGCTATTAAATGGGCCCTTGACTCATTCAAATATTATTTGCTGGGAAGAGGATTCACCCTTCAAACTGATCACGGAGCCCTCCAGTGGCTAGAAAAAATGAAAGACACTAATGGCAGAATCACCAGATGGTATCTTGCTTTGCAGCCATTTCACTTTAAGGTTCACTACATTGCCGGCAAAGACAACATCACTGCTGATAACCTTTCTCGGTGCCAGACTGAAGACCAGGAAGTGGGAGGGGGTGTGATGGCCAAATCCATGGCCACACCCTGATGTCAACAAGAAGTGCTAATTGGATTACACCAATAGTTCCTGCTGGCAGGGGGATATGGTAGTTTAAGTTTTGTATTTAAGTAAATATTAGTATTTAAAGTTTGTTTTTGATTTTCATTTTTGGATCTTTAGTTTAGCCAAACTTAGCTGTACTATTTGTTTTGTGTTATTTGTATTTGTTTAGTTACCCCTATTGTGTCATGGTCTGATCAGCCAGTATATAAACCCCTGTGTGTCATTTCTTTGTTAGGTCAGTTATGTTTGTTGTGCAGTTAGTTTGTTTACACTTTTGCCTGAGTTCAGTTTTGTTCCTTTGACCTCTTTTATGAATTCAGTTTATTTTTTGTCATTTATGATTTTGGGTTAAAATAAAAACCCTATTTTCCTAAATATATCCTGTGACTCCTCCTGTTTTAACTCAGTCCATCACAAGAGGGTTGAAGCATATAAGGAAGGAAATGAGGAAGGACACAAGGTCACAAAGGAGCACTGTAGGAAGAAAGGAAGGAAAAAGAAAATAAAGGTAGGACATAAGCAAGAGGGAGGTTGTAATCTCTGTCTCCCACACAGATCTATTGGTATGCATTAAATACTAAAAAATGTTTGCATTTTTTTGTAATAAATATGAGAGCCAATACAAGAGTTTCCATAAAAAGCTAGCTTCCCACGTTTGCCCTCATCACTCAATCCAGAGTCAGCTGCTTTCAGGCACCTTCAAGCTTCCATACTTTTCCTTCTGGGTAATTCCAAGCATAAAGGCTCATATTGTAGATATCTTACTGAGATCTTGAAATATAATCAGGTTTCTGTCAGATACCACAAGATTAAGACAATAGGAAAGAGAATTTAGCCTGAACACACACATACTTTCTATTCTCTCATTGTTTTCTGCACCTATTCAGACTTGGGGGAGAAAAAACAAATAAAATCCCAAACTTGTTTCAGACTGCTGGTGATGTCTAAAAAGGAAAGGCCTGCTGACCATGGTCCGATGCTGGTCAAAGATCACCAGCTGTTGTGTGCAAGACGTCAGTGGACTGGAGCACAGAATACATTCACCATCGGTCAGGAGAACTCACCAACATGCTGGCAGGTCTCAGCTTGGAGTCCAGTGAGAAAACTCTGAAACGCACTGAAGGAAAACCGATGAGTGTTTCAGCTGACACAATCCTAAATGCTCTCGCAAGATTGTGATTCAACCCAACTTTTTTCTTCCACTCAGAAAACATGCTAACTGCCTCACATGTGGACTCTCGTGTCCTGGGTTTCCATCAGAACAACAGCATGAAGAGATTCAGAGATCCATCTCTAATAACACGTTCAGGACTGAAATCCACAAATTATATAAATCTAACCATATGCAGATGACATTTGACTTCATCTGAGTGCATTTGGTATTGAAAAGAAAGAACTCATTCCATTTTATGATTTCAGCTTGGTCTTTGTTGAATAAATGATATGTCAGAATTTGTTGTGCATGATTTTGAACTCTGAACACTCCATAATATCACTGCAGAAATCTGACTTTAGAGCACCAGTCAGCAGTTTATATCTACCTGTTTGTCCAGGGAGGTAGATTGGTTTGTCTGTCTGGATGAAGATCCTGGATGATTTATAGGCTTTGATCTTGACTTTCCTGGCTTTTTTTGAGGAAAACGTGTCCCCTCGCACTTGCACCTCAAACTTTTGCACATTTCCAATTTTCACTGTGGGAACCTGTAGCAGAAGAATATTCAGTATAATTAAAATCAGACATTTGCATACAGATATTTAAAAAAAAACCCAAAACACTCTTTTCTTTCTGTATGAAGTTTGCTCAGATAATTTTTTTTTTTTTTTTTAGGTGAGTTAGAGTTATCAAAGTTATTTTGGTTTGCAAAACACCAGGAGGAAATGGACCAGAACTCCAGAAAATTATTTTGAGAAGCTTGTGGTAGGAAACCCAAAAGGTTTGATCCAACTTATACAGTTTAAAAAACATTTAATTCTGATACTGACCAAATCTGTGTATACTTCTCAATTTGATGGATGTTACAGAAAAAAACAAAAAAAAAACAATGACCTCTGGAATTAGCAACAGGAGTTTTGGGATGATTTAACTTCAGACTGTGAGAAAAAGTTGTATATAAACATATGGTTTCAATTGTATTTGGGATATCTATTAACACCATCATTTCTTTGTAAAAAAAAAAACCCAAAACATTTATTAAAGATACAGAAATCTGCACTGACACGTATGTAAACCCATTATGCGCTGGGTGAATTAAATTGCAATATTACATACATTTCGATTATGCTTTATGAATTTTCTTATGTCTATTCTCATTGGGTGTAGACAAAACGTACAATGTACAACAGACTGGATTGTTGTGTTTACCACCAAGGTGATTTTTATTTATATTTTGTTCAAACAAAAGATCTAGTAAAGATATGTTTCTTGATTTTTTGCTGTGAGGATTCAAGATGCTGACATGTTTAAATACAAGCGCGTGAATGAAAAGCTTTGCTGGGAGCCGACCTGAAACTGGAAGCACTCATTAAATTCGGTGCTGGATGTTTTCTCCAGCAGAGTTACGTTGCTGTGCTGCGACACCAGAGTGACCGTCATGAGCAGAGACTCAGTGGGCTGCAGGAGACTGGCACAGAATTTAGTCTCTGCTCCAGACTCGAGAACAGCAGGAATGACCACCATGTAATGTCTACAGACAGATTCACAGATACACACAGCCACTGCATTAAGTAATCAGACTTTGATGGGATCTGAACACTGTTCAATAACATCAACACATTATTGTTTATAAATGCAGAAAGACTCACGGTGCAGCTGATCCTCGGCCCACAGACAAGAGGACACACAGAGTCCATTTCCACATCTGGGTCCAGAGATGATCCATGACTGTCTGTGAATGTCCTCAGATTCAGTCTGTAGATGACAGAGGCCCCCCACTCTCCCTCACCGTGTTTCACCCACTCAGGCTCCACCTACACCCTTCGATTGCCTTTGGCCTCTGCACTTGAATGAATGTGGATCTATTCAGTGTAAAATGAAAAAGTTCCTCACATTCAGTTTGGAGACTAAAGTTTTCTAAAAGTTTGATCTGATGAATATCCTGCTATTTTTCTGTGTTTTACCCACCACTGAGAGCTCAAAGTTAAACAGTGGAAAAAATAATCAGAATCATGTCAATACTACTCTGTGGTCTGGTATCAGAGTCATGGTGATTTTACACAACTGCACTATAAACTGTGTAAAATGTTTGACTTCGTCATGCAAACAGACCGTGACCTCTTCACCACAAACAGAGACTTTTCCCCCTTGTGTGAATATGAACACAGTAACTCTAATGGATCACAAAAACATGGGAAAAGAAAACACATAAAACACTGACTTTTTGGTATTTTCGCTCATTTTCTGCTCTTTTATCCTAAAGATTTTGAGACAGTCGCTTGGCAACTCAAAGCACGCTCCATAAGAAATCTATGGATTTCCTATGAAAGATGAGTGGCAGAGATTAAGTCAGATTATTAAATCTCCTAAAGTAATTGTGATGAACGTGGCTCACCAGGTTTTTATGGAATGTTCTGCTTATGAATCAGAAAGAAAGCATTTCCAAAAAGAAATTGCTAAAATAAATATTCAACTTACAATTGATGCATTTTTAGTACTGATGTTGGTAAAGTAAAAGATCAAGTTGAGTTTAATTAAAAAAAAAAAAAACTGAATCGAGATAATTTAGTAGAATTATAAAGTTGATTTCACATGATTAGTTATTGTGTTTGTCTCCTCTCCACACTCCAGTACAGTAGATGGCGGTAATGTCACAGCTGGTTTGCCAAATATCATGAAATATAACAAAAAGAAGAAGTTGTCAATGTGTGAGTATGATTTGACATGATTTCAATAAAACATGCAGTTTTATTCTTGATAAAATTTCAGTTGTTAAATCTGCAAATATTGTGGGCGACTTTTTCACTTAACTATTGAATTATTTGTATTATTTGCTCTGACCCTTTGTGTGCTTTATGGTGTGTTTTATGGGTGTGTGCATGTGTGTGTGGTTTCGGGAACTGACGGTCTGATGGTCTGAGAGACAGGGATGTAGGTCCCTCTCTCTCTCCTAAACCCCGCCTCCCCGCTGTCCCACTGTGACATCACCAACCTTGTTTAACTGTCCATTAGAGGTTGGGTGGTTAATGCTTTTCCTCTGTCTACATTTCCCAGAATGCCAAGCATTTATTGTTTTTATTCCAAGTTCATTGAAGTTATTGAATATTTTATCTGATCATGTGTTTATCAACATATAGAGTGTTACTGGTTTATTCTCCAGGCCTGCTTAGGGTGGAACTCATGTGACATGAAAACTAACTAAAAGATGCAATAAATCTTTTGTCTAATGTTCCATATGCTTTCTTTCAATCGAAAATAATCTCTTTTAAATTTTATGTAGAAATAACATAAATCTCAGTCATACTAATTATAAATAAGTGATCAACTCTGCTCGTTAGATTCACTGTCAATGAATCAATAACATTAGAAATAACATAAATCTCAGTCATGCTAATTGTAAATAAATGATCAACTCAGCTAATTAGATTTACTGTCATGGGATCAATAACATTAGCAAGAACATCTGACAGAGAGAAAGAAATTAGACATAAGCCTGCACTCATAGCTTGGATGCTAGCATCTGGATGCTCACTGAGATGTTCAAAACTGTTCAAGAGGGAAAAAAAGAAAGAATCTTTTGCTATTTGATGACAGATTATGGCTATTTACTAATTTCCCTTGATTGTAATTGTAGATTTCTGTCTAAAGGGCTATAGTGCAGTTTACTCTTGCAGCAAATATAAAACTGTCATCACTCTACTCATCCCCACACTCACTGTGATCAGACCAGAGCAGCAGGTGAAGCTTGAAGCTGTGCTGTGAATTCAACACATTACATCATGCTAATTGATTTCAGCCTCACCTTTAGGCTGTGAAGGTTATGCCCCCCAAGAGGGTCGTCGCTTCCCTTCCTCACAAACAGGATGTGCACTGATTACCAGAGAGCCATGTCATCTGCAGAGGGAGCTGGAATCAGACTTTGAACATGTTATTTTTCATCTTAATTTTTCATCACTGGTACATGTGAATTGATCATTACGTCTTCATTGTGTAAAATTCTCCGTCTCTTTCCTGTCCCGGTGGAATCTCTCCTCCTCCTCATCACTCATTGATCTCAGATTGTCAGGAAACCGATCCAGATGTGAGAATAAGTCCTGCATTTTGATGCTCATGTTACTCCGTAGTTCAGAAAGTTGAACCGATTGAGCAAAACCAATGTGATTATTGGGTTCAGCTCATCAAAACCCCCAGACAATTTTCTGTCTGTTGAGCAGTGTTATGCATCAACATTATAAAATGACTTGTTTTGTTACTTGGTTTTAGTGAGGTTGATTTGCATTAAAGTATGTAACTTTGTTGAAGATATATTATTTTCATATATGTGAAAAATCTCACCATGTCCTGAAAATAGAAGATGAGAGTGTTAGATATTTTTTAATATTATTATTTTGTTGTTACTTTAGTTTATATTCAGTCTAAAGTATTATTGTGATTTTAGTATAAACTGACCGGGAGGTTACGACTGTCTTCATGCGAGATAGTAAAACTTTATGGTTCTCAGACCTTCTTCTCTGGTGTTTACTACCCAGTTTTAGGTGACAGTTTGACCCAGAGCTGAACTGGGCTCAGATTGTAAATTAGATATCACACCTGGAACTGAGTTGTTGGTCTGTTTGTGTTAAATGTTTTACGACCTCTGTTGTTTGATGCTTTGACAATAAAGAGGGAGCTCACGTGAAAGCAGATCAGAACTCTATTGAACAGCTCGGAGGAGCTGTTGATCGGGATTTCTCCTTCTGCAGAAGCCTGACCATATTTAATTCATATACGTTGTCTGAGGTTATTTTATTGTAGTTTCGAGGAAAATACCTAACAAGAGAGATAATATTTGAAAAAAGAACAAGTCCCCGTGGCTCTTCCTGAACCCCTGATGGCATTTAGAAAAATACGCCGCTCCCGAACCGAAGCAGCCAATAAGAGGCTGGAGGCGAATCTTTGCTCCGTCATTCATGACCATGTAAGGCATCTCTCTGCAGCTCTGGTAGATGCACCAGGATGTTTGGTTGGGGACAGGAGGTGATGATGGAGAAGCAGTACAATGGCTGAGTACCTCAAAAATCAGGCCTGGATCCCGTTCCAAACGTTGCTCCAACACTTGTTGTGTCTGCTGTAAATTTAGTTGCTGAATTGACAGATAAAATAGATGCTGAAGCTCATTTTCAACAGCTAATGTTGTGCTACATAAAATAAAATGTATATACAACTTATGATGTGCAAAGGGAATAAATGAAACAGAGCTAACTTACATGTTGAAAAGCAGCAACCTCTGATCTTATGTTCTCCACACGCCATGTTCTCTGCTGAGATGGTGAGGAGTTGGACAGGATCCATGACCTCTGACCCGTCTCCCACCTGCTCTGTCTCATGCTTCACGGACATGGCGTGCTCTTCTCCTCCACCGTCGCTGCTGGTGTAAATCCCTCATGGGAGCCCAGGGACTCCATATACTAACATACAGTGAAATACACTTTGCATTTTTCACTGTACAAAGTGAAAAATGGAAATTGCTAACTCACTGGTTTAACATGTTGCATAGACAGTGAACCTCATCTAACAATGAGTAATTACACATCTGAGTTGCTTTTATGTTAGCTGACTTGCTATTTATAACTTATAGAAAGAGAGCAGAGTTAAAATATGAACTACTTTTGAAATGTAAAGCATAGCTTTGACACCTACCAATAAGCAAGATGCATACCAGTCCCTCGGCAGTATTAATATTGATGCATATTTTGAAGTCTCAGTGAACAGTGATGGTTTCTCATTTGTCCACATGGTTTTACAGTTCAGTCATCTGTAATTTGTAACTTCTGTGAAACTGATCAGACGTACATAACCAGGCTCTTCTTTACTTTCTGTCTCTCCCAAAGACAAACTGAAGCCCTGTTCTGGAAGCCCAGGCCTGCAGCTTTACCAGACTCCAACCTTCCTGTGGCTGCTGATTGTTCTGCCTCTGTGGGGAGTCCTTGAGACAGTCAGGCAGTTGACATGAAGGACAGACTGTGGCAGATTTTATGTATTTGTCTTCACCTGCTTTCAATTTGGTTGTGTTCTTTGTATTCCTCATCTTCATATGATATCATACTGGGTTAAGAGTAAAGCATGTGACCTGTGTACAGACCCAGAGGTCACAGTCCTCTCTGCGGCTGTCACAGGTTGGAGTCCCGAGCTGTTGACCTTTGCTGAATGTCTTTTCTCTCTCTTTGTCTCTCTCTTTCCACTCGTGGTCATTAAAGGTCACTAGAGCCAGGTAAATCCCTTAAAGAGGCAGTATTAAGTATTTTCCAGGCATATAGTCAGATTTTATAGCACAATCAAGTCACTATTTAACCTTCAGATATAAAATCAATGAATCAATTATGCCTTGAAAAATTTTGCTTCCTAATTAAAGCCTTTGATTTGGAACTCTGTCTCTTCAAAAGCTTCTGCTCTTTCTGAAACAGATGATGGATCTAAAGACAGAGGAATTAAAGGAGAAAACCCATTAGAACCTGCAAAAACTGCAGAGTAGTGGAATTCATCTTGCCATGTGATGACAACCCTCAGCCAGAGCTACAATGGAACGGTTTAGTTGAGAGCATTCATCAGCTATAATGCCCTAGTCAAAGTCCAGACCTGATTTCAGCAGAAAATATGTGGCCAGAATTGAAATGCATTCCAATCTGACTGTGCCTGAAATAGCAGAGCCCTAAAGACTTGTTGCTGTAAAAAAGAAAAACGTTAGTCCTACAAAGTAGTAATAGCTTTGTGGAAAAAGTCAGCAGGGGTTATCTGCACACCACACTTGCTCTAGCCATCTTTTTCCCTCCATTCGAAATGAACCGTTTTGTGTTTGCCAATAAAATCCTAATGAAATATAGAACCTTGAGGTCGTAACACAATGTGGAAAAGGATGAGTAAGGTTATTTTATTTCATTTTCTAACACATGCATTGACCTTAAAGAACTATATAGACACCCTTCTATCAAAATTTAATCGGAGGAGTGATTGATGAGTGATTGATGACCTTTGACCCCTAATCAAACCCCCGCTACCCCCCTTCTGGTGTTAGGTTACAACCCCTCCTTAGACATCTGTTGTTTCCACCCTCCTCCCCCCCTCCTCTTTGTTTTCTTGAAACAAAAAGACCTGATCCTGCATGCCGATGCTCTATCAAGGAAACCAGATGTTTGCTGGCTATCAACCAACAATTCAATCAGTGATTTTTTTATTGTTTTTTTTTTTTAAATAACCCCTCTCACATCTTCTGACAACTAGCCCAACTTATAATAACATTAACTAAGTTTGCTATTGGTGCACTTTACCTAAAAACAAATATTAAAAAATAAAACATACTCACTACACAGCCATGCTCCCAGAGTTGGTGACAACATGGTGATTGGTTTTGTTTCCATTAAAATCATCTACAGCTTTTGTTCCTTTCTTCTAATGATGCTATCTGTTCACTAATGTTCACTAATGTTCACCTCTTGTAAATGATAAGCTTATTAATGATTAATATGAACCATCAGCATGCTTTGAAGAAGAAGAATATTCTTAATGAGTTTAAGAACATTGTTTGCCAAAATCACACAGTTTAACTACACTTGTATTTTATATGTTGCAGTAATTGAATCTTTTGAGGCATAAATTTCAGTAAATCCAACCTATTTTCCTGCTCTATATACAGTTAGCTTCCCAGTCTGAATTTCTGTGCAATGTTTTGATTCAGTCAACTCTTCCATCCTGTACTTCCTGAACTCTGATATTCTACATCCACTCTGTGAATGTTTTGCTTGCTTGCTTGTCTTCAGCATGCTTTGAAGGCAGTATCTGGTTTCTCTTACTTAAAACCGCCCAACTTGCACCTGATTGGCACTTTAGCCTTTTGATTCCCTCCCAGTGAGGCGGTGCTTCACAAAGCAGATTGTTTGTCAAACTGTTGCTCTGCCTCATGGTTGTTTCAGAAGATGAGGAAACATGATGACTGAGGTTTAGAAACAAAAAGCCATCTAGCTTTTTTACTAGATAGCGATCCTAAAACTACATACCTTTAAAATATGAACAAATACTTACAATTCATTAATTATTTGATTCATGGGTGATACAAGTTCAGTCATTTGGAATGCAACTCAAGGACTGTGGTTTCTTAATTTAAGTGTTTCTGCTACTGGACAAGAAACAGGGTTAAAAGATGACAGTTGTATTTACTGAGAGCAAAGCTGTGTCTAGTTATCAGGAGAGACTGAGACCTGTAAAACTGTTGGGTCCATATGACACAATTATGATCTTAATATGACAGAGGAGGGAACCGGTTATCTGCTCCAACAATGTTTTAGCGTTCAGGAAATAATTTTGGATACAAAGAGCAGAAACATCCCAACATCATTTCATTTTCACTCTTATATCAGTGATTTAAAGCATTTTTTAATTTTTGATACCATGTAGTACCATGTAGTCGACCGCAAAGTTGTGCGTGAATGTAAAAGTCAATTATTTTGTCACCCAGAGAAAATTGTAATGTGTTTATTATGAGTAGGATTAACCGAGCTGAAGGAAACCAAAGAAAAAGGAGAAATAAATATTCAATGATACAGAATTGACCCAGCAAATATGAACTTAGGAAACTATTGAAACCTTCAAGAATTTTATGTGGTGTGAGACATTTAAGAAAATAATCCTGATTCCATACTCATGAATTTCTTTATTTGGTTGTTATCTCTAAACTACGTTTTTATGTTGAACACCAGATCTCACCTTTTTCCCACAGTTTTTCACTTTGTTTCACTACTTATAGTCAATGTTAAAAAAAAACAACACAGCAGAGAGTTTGAAGCGATGGAGGAAATTTACGTCAATATGGAACCTGTTGGACAATGTGCATGTCATCACACAGGTAAGAACAAAGTTACAGAGAAATCTAGTAAGTATATAATTTAATTAAATTTTGCTAAGGTTCAGGTTTCTGTTCAGGTAGCAGCAGCTTCAAAGAGAGGCTCTACCTCGGTGTGGCCGTGTCTTTGGGAATCCTGAACGTTTTCCTTTTGACCGAACTCATCAGTGAACACAGTGAGTCTTGTTTCAGTCATCTTAACGATGTAAAATGAGTACATTTTATGTTTCTGTTATAAAAAATGTCATCGTTTCCTTTCTGAAATCTAACTGATGAAATAGCAAGGGTATAAAAAAGAATAAAGCTTGGTGACTCAAAGTGTTGCAGAGAGCTGAAACGTTACAGGATGTTATATGAGTTTGAATTCTTTTCAGCAATGCATTTGCAGCATTTAGGGTCGCATGTCTCCTCTTTTTCAAACGATTTTTTGTTCAGCGTTACCTCAGTTTAAATTCTACAGGCATAACCACAGTCATAAAACTATTTTATAAGTCTTAAGTGAAAATATGATGCAACTTGTTTTTTTTTTTTTGCAAACACGTTTGTTGATTTATTTGTTTTTTCCAGCTCTTGACATGACAGCAGATTTTTCTGACATCAGCGACATTCTGACTGAGCGGAACAGCAACAGCAAGTTTCCCTCCGTGAACGCTAACTTCACTGATAACTTCACTGATAACTTCACTGATAACTTCACTGATAACTTCACTGATAACTTCACTGATAACTTCACTGAAACGGATCCTCAAGAGCTCAAGAGACTTTAAGGTTGGTCAAAACTTTAAAAAATTTGGAGCTCATTAAAATGACTAAAAAAGTTTTCCCCTTTGAATTGTAGAGTATAACTACGTAATAACTTTCCTTTTTGGTCTAAGCGAATATAAATTGATAAATGAACACTTTTATTTAAATGTATCATCTAAAAACAATGACGTAAAAGAAACAAAACTTTGATTTTTTTTTCTCCTTACAGAAATATTTTGGTCCTAAGGAACAGCAGAGATCAGTTGTTGCTGTTATTCCAGGGGTTGCAGAAGAAGAGAAGAGCAGATCCAGTACTGATCAATGATTAGATGTTGCGTTCAGAGTGATACTATTAACCAACAATAATGTAGCTTATTAGCATAGTGTTACATAAAACCCTAAAAATAAAATGTACACTTTCAACTGTTGTGATTTATAAAACAACAATTTTACCGGTTGGACTCTGTGTTTTTCTTTCTTGTTAAAACTCTGACATGATAAACAAAAGTGGGAGAATGGTTTTGTGCAGAGCATCTGTTTAGCATGATGAGTTCTGATTGCGTCTTAATGTGACTTTTACTGCCAGACTTTATGGAACTCCAGTTGTGTCCAGTAACAGCGGATCAAGCTCTATCTTGGTAAAATGATATTTCTACATGTCCAGTTATTAACTATCATTTGTAATAAAGTGATGCCAACAATATGGATTCATCAGTGAGGAGCTTGTTCTAGTCATCTTAAAGATGGAAAGAGTCAATGTCGTGATTCTAACTATCTGAATGATTAATCGAATGACTTTTTATTCATTTCAAAGTTCAGTCGGTGAGGTTATTCATTTTGTGGTGTTTCTAGTCTAAGAAAGAAACAAAGAAGAAAGGTAGCAATCACACATGTTGGTTCCACAGGCTTCCCCTGAAAATATGGATAAAACCGGTTATGATAGGGTAAAAGTAATTTGAAGAGGAAGAAGCATATAAACAAGTCAAGTCAATGACAAGTCAATGACATGATGCAATCTGCATTTTTTAACTTGGATTACTTAATTTTTTATTTATTTTTTGCTGACTTAAATAATACATTGAGATTGCTGCGCTGTTTGATAAGTAGAATGGAAATAACTTTTTTTTTGCAAACTGTCTTGAGATTACTTATTGTAAAATTTGCATTTTAAAATCAACTGAATTAAGAAAGGTTACAATTTGCCCAACTGAAGAGAAACGATGAGCAATGTTTTATGGGTTGATGAAAGCAGGGATTGGTGTTTTTCTCTGTAACATCAAAATTTACACTTTACAAAATTTACAATGAGTTTTCCCAAATAACATTGCGTGGTGTCTGAGCAGGTAAAGGTCATCCCTTGCAATATTAAGAAGCTTTTGTCAAAAATTATGATCTTAATTTTTATTCACAAAGCAATTTTCAAAGATATGAGTCATACTATCCTGTACAGCAAAATTTCCAGTATACAAAGTCTGAAAAGTCTAAAACAAAAGGATTTTAAGCTGAAAACAAACAAAAAAAATAACCCCCAATGAAAACAAAAATGTACTACATGGCATGCATTTGAAGCTGTAAACCAACACAAAGCAGGCTGTACACTTTGATGGAGGTATTTGTCTCTTTAAAAACCTGTTCCAGCATCTTCGACACCTTCGACCACTTTAGCTGGTCCAGGCCACAGTCAAATCTGAGGAAGAGAAGAGAAGAGAGTGAATGTCTGGGTGATGTCCAGACCTGAACTACACGGAATAAACTATTGTGAGCTGCAAGAACAATTTGAAAAACTTGATCTGCAGATCAGTCAGGAGAGGCAATCTGATCTGGAGAAATTGGAGGAGGACAAGGCCCTTCTGGAGAAGTGTAGTGAGTATGTTTTATTTTTAATCTTTGTTTTTAGATAAAGTGCACCAATAGCAAACTTAGTTAATGTTATTATAAGTTGGGCTAGTTGTCAGAAGATGTGAGAGAGGTTATTTAAAAAAAAAAACAAGAAAAAAATCACTGATTGAATTGTTGGTTGATAGCCAGCAAACATCTGGTTTCCTTGATAGAGCATCGGCATGCAGGATCAGGTCTTTTTGTCTTTTGTCTCTCCTGCCTTAAGCATCTCTTAAGCATCTCTTAAGCATCTCCGGCCAAAATCATGAAAGCTGATATTCCTGCAGGGTGGTTGCCAAAGGTCAAGAGTATGACTCTGTACAGAGTACCAGATCATACTCTATCACCCCTTAACAGCAGGGTTCTGCTCTCCCGGACAGAACCTAACATCTGGTTTCCTTGATAGAGCATCGGCATGCAGGATCAGGTCTTTTTGTTTCAAGAAAACAAAGAGGAGGGGGGGGAGGAGGGTGGAAACAACAGATGTCTAAGGAGGGGTTGTAACCTAACACCAGAAGGGGGGCAGTGGGGGTTTGATTAGGGGTCAAAGGTCATCAATCACTCATCAATCACTCCTCCGATTAAATTTTGATAGAAGGGTGTCTATATAGTTCTTTAAGGTCAATGCATGTGTTAGAAAATGAAATAAAATAACCTTACTCATCCTTTTCCACATTGTGTTACGACCTCAAGGTTCTATATTTCATTAGGATTTTATTGGCAAACACAAAACGGTTCATTTCGAATGGAGGGAAAAAGATGGCTAGAGCAAGTGTGGTGTGCAGATAACCCCTGCTGACTTTTTCCACAAAGCTATTACTACTTTGTATGACTAACGTTTTTCTTTTTACAGCAACAAGTCTTTAGGGCTCTGCTATTTCAGGCACAGTCAGATTGGAATGCATTTCAATTCTGGCCACATATTTTCTGCTGAAATCAGGTCTGGACTTTGACTAGGGCATTATAGCTGATGAATGCTCTCAACTAAACCGTTCCATTGTAGCTCTGGCTGAGGGTTGTCATCACATGGCAAGATGAATTCCACTACTCTGCAGTTTTTGCAGGTTCTAATGGGTTTTCTCCTTTAATTCCTCTGTCTTTAGATCCATCATCTGTTTCAGAAAGAGCAGAAGCTTTTGAAGAGACAGAGTTCCAAATCAAAGGCTTTAATTAGGAAGCAAAATTTCTTTCAAGGCATAATTGATTCATTGATTTTATATCTGAAGGTTAAATAGTGACTTGATTGTGCTATAAAATCTGACTATATGCCTGGAAAATACTTAATACTGCCTCTTTAAGGGATTTACCTGGCTCTAGTGACCTTTAATGACCACGAGTGGAAAGAGAGAGACAAAGAGAGAGAAAAGACATTCAGCAAAGGTCAACAGCTCGGGACTCCAACCTGTGACAGCCGCAGAGAGGACTGTGACCTCTGGGTCTGTACACAGGTCACATGCTTTACTCTTAACCCAGTATGATATCATATGAAGATGAGGAATACAAAGAACACAACCAAATTGAAAGCAGGTGAAGACAAATACATAAAATCTGCCACAGTCTGTCCTTCATGTCAACTGCCTGACTGTCTCAAGGACTCCCCACAGAGGCAGAACAATCAGCAGCCACAGGAAGGTTGGAGTCTGGTAAAGCTGCAGGCCTGGGCTTCCAGAACAGGGCTTCAGTTTGTCTTTGGGAGAGACAGAAAGTAAAGAAGAGCCTGGTTATGTACGTCTGATCAGTTTCACAGAAGTTACAAATTACAGATGACTGAACTGTAAAACCATGTGGACAAATGAGAAACCATCACTGTTCACTGAGACTTCAAAATATGCATCAATATTAATACTGCCGAGGGACTGGTATGCATCTTGCTTATTGGTAGGTGTCAAAGCTATGCTTTACATTTCAAAAGTAGTTCATATTTTAACTCTGCTCTCTTTCTATAAGTTATAAATAGCAAGTCAGCTAACATAAAAGCAACTCAGATGTGTAATTACTCAGTGTTAGATGAGGTTCACTGTCTATGCAACATGTTAAACCAGTGAGTTAGCAATTTCCATTTTTCACTTTGTACAGTGAAAAATGCAAAGTGTATTTCACTGTATGTTAGTATATGGAGTCCCTGGGCTCCCATGAGGGATTTACACCAGCAGCGACGGGGAGGAGAAGAGCACGCCATGTCCGTGAAGCATGAGACAGAGCAGGTGGGAGACGGGTCAGAGGTCATGGATCCTGTCCAACTCCTCACCATCTCAGCAGAGAACATGGCGTGTGGAGAACATAAGATCAGAGGTTGCTGCTTTTCAACATGTAAGTTAGCTCTGTTTCATTTATTCCCTTTGCACATCATAAGTTGTATATACATTTTATTTTATGTAGCACAACATTAGCTGTTGAAAATGAGCTTCAGCATCTATTTTATCTGTCAATTCAGCAACTGAATTTACAGCAGACACAACAAGTGTTGGAGCAACGTTTGGAACGGGATCCAGGCCTGATTTTTGAGGTACTCAGCCATTGTACTGCTTCTCCATCATCACCTCCTGTCCCCAACCAAACATCCTGGTGCATCTACCAGAGCTGCAGAGAGATGCCTTACATGGTCATGAATGACGGAGCAAAGATTCGCCTCCAGCCTCTTATTGGCTGCTTCGGTTCGGGAGCGGCGTATTTTTCAAAATGCCATCAGGGGTTCAGGAAGAGCCACGGGGACTTGTTCTTTTTTCAAATATTATCTCTCTCATCTTCTATTTTCACATATATGAAAATAATATATCTTCAACAAAGTTACATACTTTAATGCAAATCAACCTCACTAAAACCAAGTAACAAAACAAGTCATTTTATAATGTTGATGCATAACACTGCTCAACAGACAGAAAATTGTCTGGGGGTTTTCAACTGTATGGTCATTTTGATGAGCTGAACCCAATAATCACATTGGTTTTGCTCAATCGGTTCAACTTTCTGAACTACGGAGTAACATGAGCATCAAAATGCAGGACTTATTCTCACATCTGGATCGGTTTCCTGACAATCTGAGATCAATGAGTGATGAGGAGGAGGAGAGATTCCACCGGGACAGGAAAGAGACGGAGAATTTTACACAATGAAGACGTAATGATCAATTCACATGTACCAGTGATAATTATTCAGTTTATAGAAATCCAAGTTTGTAACATTTAATTAATACACTCTGTTAAAAAACGTTGTTTTTTTCTCCTTAAGCCTTTTTGGATGAGAAATATTAACAGAAATGAACTGATAATTTAGTCAGAAGATAAAATTTCTCTATATCAAACTGGAATAAAAACCTGACCTGATTGTGAAAAATGGATGCCATTTTTGGATTCAGGGGTACAAAACAGTCCTAATTCATTTGGGAAAACATAGACGGCTTCCAAAGATATGTTTTATGATATCTGCTTTAACGACTCAACATCATTTTGAGCAGAACTATGAGATGGAATTAATGCAAAATACTAACGTTTCTTTGCCGTTGGATTGGGGTCAATCAGCACTGTTTTATTTTCCGTTCTCTCCCTTCTTTTCAGTACGCAGGTGTAGTTGATGGGACTGG